TTATAGAATATAAATGTTCTACTGTGCCACACAACTTTTAAATCAAATTTTGAATCCATGAAAAAATGGGTAATCAAAACGTCCACGTCTGAATTGACAACACACATCAAAATGGGAATACCCGTTGAGTACACGGGTAATGCCGCATTACATAATATATCCGTCATCGATTAGATCAGTTTCAGAATGTGGGCCCTATGCCTATTAGTTCGATTGTTACTTTCTCGTATACTGAGTAAAGAGGAAGTATTGTAGTTTTGCTAAAAATCTAAACCGATATCTTGACAAATCTTGACGTTTTACACCTTCCATAGTCAGAAAAATCTTGTGTCTGTGTGTTTGTTTGTGTAAACACGATAAGTTGTGTACCATTTCAGTTAGGATAGACGACATTGGTAATATAATTATCCAAGGTTTATTTTAATCTTTACGTTGGTTCTTAATTAGCCATACCTTGAGTACTGTTTCAGTTATATGGGCGAAATTTCATATAAAAGTATTTGATTTCTGTCACTTTTTGAACGATTTTATTTTAATTGGAAATGGTATTTTATTTCAGTTTTCACAAAAACCATTAGAATTCGATTATTTTATATCACATTATCATAAAGCAGATTATTCTTTATAAAAATTGCCTCTATGTGTTTTTTCGAAAACAACCAGCAGTTATGTCACAAACACATCAATCATTTCTATAGCCTATCCACTGGAAGTGGCATCCCAACACTTAAACTGTTATATTACATATACTAAAAATATTAGGGGAACTCACTCCCGCTTTTTATGGGATTGAATGGGGGGGGGGGAGGAATTAGAAACTGACATTTTTGGAGTTTTACCAACAAAAGTTTAGCACTGTTGTGCTTCAGCCAACAAAATCTGCTGTGTAAATAAAAAACAACAACTGCGATTGCGAATTATTTAGATAAAGTACTACATTTAATTATATGATGTATCAGTATTATCAAACCTAGTACCAAAGATTAACGTCTCCAAAGTTATTTTATAGGGGGGAATTTTTTTTTAAACCGTAGAAACTTAAAAATATTAAACAGAAGAGCCCTTTATTCGTTAAAATAATTAAAGTTAGCCAATATTACATGCAGTGGCGTCACTATGTTGGGTGTCACCCGTTGCGGTAACTCATGATAACAATCCCCATATATATATATATATATATATATATATATATATATATATATATATATATATATATATATATATATATATTAGGAGACTGACTGACTATATTTCAAATTAAACCATTTCCTAATTTAGTAATTTAACCTATTTCATTGCAAAAGTATATCCATCAACAAACAATACATAGACAAACTAATTTAGGACCTGAAGGATCGAGTTTAAAAACGTCCTTATCTCCTTTTTTTTTTTGTTTCTCGTGTTCGTGTTATTCTTTCTTGTTTTTTTTTTTTTTTTTTGGTTTTTTTTGCGTTTATATTATTAATTTTAATTACTTTTTTTTTTACTTTCTCATAAATACGAACTAGGCCTATAGAGAAAGTATTGTAATCGGGCAGGAAAAAAAAAATCGAGATTTTTGCGAATCTCGATGTATTACACCTCCCTGTGTCGGAAAAATAAAATTTTGCTATCTTGTCCTTATGTTTGTGTGTGCGTATGTCTGTGTAAACACGATAACTTGAGTACCGTTATAACTAGATTGATGAAATTTCATATATAAGTAATATATCAAATTTGTAGATCCGTATAATCTTTTCAGCTATTTCCGATAACCGGAAGTGGACTTTTTTTCTACTTTCAATTTTTCAAAAGCCTATAACTTGAGTACTATTTATTATAGATACATGAAGTTTCATACATAAGTAAAAGATCTAATTATCTACCTTCTATCAAATTTTGAGTAACTTCCGTTGACCGGAAGTAGTAATTTAGGCTATTTCCGATTTCTCAAAAAAAAACGCATGTGAATTTATAAAGTAATAATAATATTCCGCACTCTTATACATGTAGATGTAACCCTCACTCAGTGGGGAAGCTTTTACCCACTGAGGTGTTGGAGTTAAGACGGGCTGACCCTGAGATTTAGGAAAAAATTAGGACACATTGAAGCAACGCTGTTGTCCACTAATTGACTTTATTCATCAGTACATCGAGCCATGACGGCGATGTAGAACAACAGTAGTACGACGATTAGAGATGTATAATGAAACAAAACAAAACCAAAAAACCAAAAACTGTAGCCCTAAAACAAATGTAAATAAAAGGTTACATCAATGATAATACCACGTGTAGGCTAAAAACATACACGGGTGCAATAAAATATGTTTCGGCCAGTACACAATACTGCCAACAAGTACCGATAAGTATTACAATAATAAATACTTAAAAACTCTCAACCTAACTAGTGTGCAACATGCAGCACTAGCAGGAATACACAAATACGTATTCTAACAATAAATATGATTTAAATAACCACACTACCTTCATTAGGTCTACATTGTTATGTCTACCTCCTGGTACCGTCACCCTCCATGTCCACAGACAGCAGCCTTGCGTGTGACTGACACGGCTAGGCACGAACTACCCATAATTACACAGGTAAAATCGCTCACAGAAGAGCATGCAAAACAAACTACATCAACAGGGCTTCGGTCCCACAGGGGCCGCAACTCAATTAATTAAAACTTTATTCTTATCCCCCCTTGGCTGGTAACTATATGTGTTACATACACATTTCATTTGGCGCTCACTTGGTGTGCAATTCTTTTTTCTACAAGATTCTATTCTATTTTAAAAAGTTTAAGTGATTAAAACGGATTAAAAATATAGTCTATATCCCGAGGTGCCATCCCTCGTAGTGTTTTATAAGAATATTCGAGAAAGTTTAGGGGAGATCACTCCCGGTTTATTTAAACGTATTTTAATAATAATCAAGAGAAGCAATTGCTTTTTTATTTGCCTAGTACAATACTATTTAAATGAGTTTTATGAGTACCCTAATTAGACCATTCAAAGAGGAGTATAAATCATGAAAGTGGTTTGAAGATTTGCCTATTTTTACTTTCTCGTATATGAAGTATTGTAATCGTGCAAAAAAAAATCGAGATTTGTAATCGAGATTTTTACAAATCTCTACGTTTGACAACTCCCTGAGTTGGAAAAAAACATAGTTTTGCAATTTTGTCCGTACGTCTGTGTGTGTGTGTATGTGTGTGTGTATGTCTGTAACCACGATAACCTGAGTACCGTTACAGCTAGGCTAATTAAATTTCATATATAAGTATTATATCAAATTTGTTGTTCTGTATCAACTTTTCAGCGATTTGCGATAACCGGAAGTGGAACTTTCAACTTTTCAAAAGCCTATAACTTGAGTACTGTTTCAGATAGATAAATGAAATTTCACATGTAAGTAAAAGATCTAATTCTCTGCCATCTTTCAAATTTTGAGTAATTTCCGTTTACCGGAAGTAGTAGTTTACGCGATTTCCGATTTCGCAAAAAAAAAACGAATATGAATTTATAAAGTACTATTATTCCGCACATTTTTTGCCGCTCACAACTCATTTTTTCTTCTACGAGATTCTATTCTATTTTTTAAAGTTTAATTAATTAAAAATGGATTAAAAATCATGTCTACTCCGAGTTGCCATCCACCGTAGTGTTATGTAAGAATATTCGAGAAAGTTCAGGGGATATCACTAAGGGTTTATTTACTACAGCTCATTTTGTTTGTTGTCTTTTTTCTTCGCAGCAGTGTGTGCTAGTTACTGTTGAACAATCACTGCTGTAGCGAGAATTTTTTTTTTACAAAACCACTAGTTTAGGTGCAAAAAAATTTTTTTTTGTTCGGATTTCGGTTCCCCTATATAGATAAGATACAAGATTTATATAAGATTTTTTCTTTTTCTTCGGGGGGTGGGGGGGGGGGGGGGGGGTGGGGGGGGGGGGGGGTGGGGGCGTTGCCAAGAGGAGATTCCTGAGAGAAAAATTGCTCTCTTGGTGGTATACGCCTCTAAAGCGGTAACACATGGCCACTTTATTAAGTTGGTAGACCACCTTCGCTGGTACCGAACTGTTGTACCAGCGAGTACGTCAAACAGCAGACGACCGGCATAAGATAAGATAGATGCCGCTCTTGCCATTGTTTGCTGGTGACCCCAAAAGGGAGAGAATTCAGAACCCCTCCAGGTTATCCTCGGAATGTGTTTATTTTAACGAAGGTCAGTAAGTGTAGACTTGATATATTTTAAATTTATTTTTTACACTCGTGTACTATTTAAAGTTTTAAAAAATCAAATGTATGTAATGTGTCTTTATTATGTTCACGGGCTAAACAATTATATATATATATATATATATATATATATATATATATATATATATATATAAATATATATATATATATATATATATATATATATATACTCCCGTTAACAAGTTTCCCCTTTCTTTACCGCTTTAAACTTTACTTGATGAACTAAGCAATATTTAATAGGACAAGTGAAGTCGAGCGTCAAGACACAGTTATAACGGGATCACTCCAGTTGTGCGGGATTAAAGTATGTCGTTTCTTTACGACATATGGTATATGAATACAAATGGTATACTTATGTAAGCGGTCTTCTTGTCTGGGAATGACGCTACGCTATTTCTACCGCGCTACTACAGCCCCCCCCCCCCCCCCCAACCTAGCCAGTCTTCTCAAAACACCATCAGTGCATGGCTTCATTTAAAAACATGATTCGGACATTAAATTGTGGCTGACGGTATTCTAAAATTAACTATATAGGTTTATGCCAATTAAAAGCCAACAACAAATTAACTTGATGATAAAACGTTATTTTACTAACAACACATAGGTCATACACGCGTCAATCTGTGCTATTCGGTAGATTTGTTGTTCAGTACTGTGTAATCGCATGCATCAGTGCACGAGTGCATTTTTCCCACGCCTGTATGCCTCATCGTTCAAAACTTCGCTTCTTCCCAATCAGCATTTATCAAATCCGTCACGTGATCGCCACAACTAAAGCCGAAGCTTGTCGAGCTCTACCGAGTGGTTTTACCTGTCCCCGAGATTATAAAAAATACGAAAACAAAGAACGCGTTTTCATGTTTGGAATTTTTGTTGTATCGATTAAAATTTTACTACAGCTCGGAAAAGTTCGGATTAGACTTAAAATACACAACAAATTTACCATTTATTGATATTTTGGACTATTTATATCAATTTTTCAAGCGAATTCTCAGTCATCTACCTGTCCTTTTTTAAAAAAGAGATATCGTCTTTGCAGTATGGCCGATTCCATGTCAACTTCCGCCTTGGGTTGTTGACAGTGACAGTGTTTGAGGATAAGGAATTTCGGTTTAGTTTGAACATCACACTTTCTTAGGCGGCTTCCCTGCGTTCGTTGTGTGTAAGTGTTTGGAAATGTGTTTTTATTAAGGGGCGAAAAGCTGCTCTTGAATTTTTATATGATTAGTTAAACCAGTGTCTATTAGTATTACTATTGTTGTACTATTGAATTTGATAAGTCTAGACTCTAGACTCTACTCTTAGTCTTAGCTTAGACAGTGACTGTGACAGCTGAGTTTCAAATTACATTTGTCAGCTGGTCTTTCTCAAATCTACCAAGTTAGTGATTCAGACACATTGAAATTGTGAGAGATTTAGAATCACAGATCTGTATCTCAATAACTCAAGATCTATTTAGTAGTATTTACTATTTAGGCCTAATTTTAACTTAATTTAACTAACCTATCAATACTATCAATCATATACTATAGTTAGTAGTTAAGTAGTATAGTTTATAGGCCTAGATCTAGATTACATATTATAGAGTAGGCCTATAGATTATAGAATCTACATACCATAATATTGTCCTAAACCTAAAATAATATTAAAAATATTGATGTTAGTAGTTAGTAGCTTCAGTGCCTAGCAATTGTAAGGTCAGGATTACTCCAAGTTTTCTTCAGGGGAGGGGAGGGGCACTTGAAACCTATCTATTTCCACTGAACCCCCCCCCCCGCCTGACCATTAGAGATGCCTGAAAGAAAAAAGGCATTTTGAGGGGGGGGGGGGGGGGCAGGGGGGTGCTGACCCACACCATGTTAAACTATGTGGGAAGGGGGTGGTGACAGTGACACCAAGGCATTGTACAATAAAGCTTTTACTTTTGTCATCTCAATTTAGGATTAATCAAAGTTAAATAGTCATACAGACATAATTTAAATATTTTTTGAGCGGGGGAGGCATGACCAGAATTTCTTCCAGGCAAGAAAGTCTACCTCCCACCAAACAAAATGGAATTTATATAGAAAATATATACTTTTACCTGTGTCCACCCCCCCCCCCCCCCCAGGGAATATGTTGACCCCCCCAAAAAAAAATATCAAGCCACCCCCCCCCCCCCCCACCGGGAGATAAAAGCCTGAAAGAAACATTGGGCATGCCACCATGAGGTGCCACAGAGAGTGAGACTGCCCTAGAAACACCACTGGTTATATAGATTTCATAGATTTTAATTAACACTTCCAGCCTAATTTAGCCTAGCACGCTGGGAAAGCACCCCAGATGACAGAAGGATTGGGTTGGGATGTTAGTTGTTACATCATCAAATATGTTAGTCTTTTACCAAGGCATAAAAGCATTTGTTGCTCTGCCTAGAACTAATTGAGCACACTTTTAGATTAAAGTTGAGGTAAATGAAAACAATTTTTTTGTCTCAGCTGACAATTTGTGTGATGCTTGTTAGAAAGTGAAAGTTGACATGAAAAACAAAAGCCTAATATTACTTTTGATTTGTATTTTTTTTTATTGTTTTGCTATGCATGGCCACCAATAAGATGTTAATAAAAATATATATTTTGTATCTTTAAAATAATGGTAAAAAATACATACACATTTTTTACTCATTTAACCTATTAGTATTAGGGACCTCTAGTCTTGGGCTGTAAGGGTCTGATTCTTGTTGTTGCCTCAAAAATACAATCCTGGCTGTGTTATCAGTGATTTTCAAACTTTCTTATGACCAACTGTGTTAATATATTTGATCTTTAACCCAGTCAGAAAAGTCATAGAATAATAATTTTTTTAAAACACTGTCTTATGCCTTTTTGTGTTATTATGTTTAATATGATCTGATTGGTCCTGGTCATAATCTACTAATTAGAATCAATTCTAAATCAGAGTTTAAACTAAATCTATTTTGTTTCACTTTACAGCACACAATGTTTTTATTTTGAGTACTTGGTACAGTTCTAACAGCTGTGTGGAGAAAAATTCCAGCCATGCCAAGAAAAAAGGAATGGCTGCACCTGCTATTTTATCTTTGGCTGTTCAACATTTCTCAAGGTCAAGGTAAATAGAAAAACATCCTCTCAATTTCCAGAGTTATATGTCATAAATGTTTTTGTAAAACTTTACAAGACAGTCAAAGTTATATTCTTGCCATATTGAATTTTGTTACTATTGTTTTACATGATGGTCAGTAGTCTGGCAGATAAAGTAGAGTTCACTTAATATCTAAAAAAAATTGTACCCATATAAAATCCCTAAGGTCCATGCCTAATAATTACTTTATTTTATTACTTGCCTGATTAATTTTAAAAAAAAAATAGCTTGCATAAATAAAAAAAATTTCAATTTGTGCTTATTTTTTTCTCTCACTATCATAGAAATAGCCCCAGAAATTACCAGTGAAATCACAAGCTTTTATAGACCTGCAATAGATTCATACTTGGAAGTTGAAACTAAGAGCTTTATTTACTTGAGTATTTCTGCCAGCAATGCCCTGAGATTTATCTGGACCTTTAATGACACTGTGGTTAAAAACACTTCAGAGAGTGTCTATCAGCTCACTGCTGCTGTAGAAAATACAGGAGTCTACCGATGTATTGCTGAAAATAATTTTGCAGCTGTACGAAGCAGACCTTTTACACTGGTGGTCAAAGGTTTGTAGTACTTTTGTTATTAAAGTTCATAGATTTTGATATTTATATTTTCATATTACAATATTTTATATTTTTTATCATTTACAAAGTTAAGAACTATAGTGTAACTAGTGGGGACAGTTTGGGTGGGTGTGAGAGCACTTCAAAATCTGGGTGAAAAGACCCAATATGTATAACATTTTGACTCATAATATTACAATTAAGAGCAAAGAAGTGTAGCTAGCTGATCTAAATTTAAAAGCAAAGTCACAGCCAATACAATTTTATTTTTCAGAATTGGTAACCTTTCCACTGACTTCTGATCAAACCTTTAATCTTGAAGAAGGGAAGTTTGTTGTTTTCACCCCACCAAATGTAACACACTTAAATACAGCTAATTACTCATGGCTTCTGGGTGGTGATAAAATTCAACTTAGAGATAGCGTTTATATATCTCTTAATAATCAGCTGGTCTTGTTGAATGTCAATAGAAATATGAATGGTAATCAATATAAAGTCAAGATGTCCCATGTACTGCCAACCGGTATTCTTGAAACCACAAGCAGCAACTTTATACTAAGTATTGCAGGTTGGTTTGAGTTTATCTAATTGTTCATTGTTTTAAAATTTTTTAGTTCTCAGATAGTGAAAAGATAGTGATGTCTTATGTTTTTAGGCACTGACTGTTTACACTTGACTCACAGTAACTAATCCACAAAAGGAGAGCTTAATTATATGAAAATAAAAGAAGTATTAAATAATATTAGATAAACTGTTTTATATCCACCTACTTTGTAGTTACACAATCATTTTATTCTTTCAAAGTGTAGTCATATATTATAATGAAACTCTAAAATTGATTTTACCCATTCTCAGAAAATTTCTGTTTTGATATATTTGTTGCTACTATAAAATAGTGTAGATTGGACAGAAGTTTTAATTTGAGAAAAAGTTTGAATTACAAAACTCTTTAGAACTATAAAATGACCATTGGATTTAAGATTGAAAAAAGTTTTTCATTATTAGTAAAATATATAACATTTTATCCTTCAGTTGTTTTTCCATCTCTGTTCTATTGTCTATTCTACAGATGACATTGGTAACTTTATTTACTAGGTGCATATTTTGAAAGTCTCTCCAATTTTTCAATGTGTTTTTTGTTTTTTAAAACTGAAAATTTTAACTCTTTATTTCCTGAAATATTTGGACAGCCTCGACTGTAACAGCCACTCCAGAGTTTGTGATCGAGCCACCAGTTTCTACAGTTGGTGTGGAAGGGCCAAATGTTGTTAAAATAGAATGTGTTATCAACGGACAGTAAGTTCTTTTACTTGTATTCAAATGGCTCTGTAAATGTGATGTTGCATTTTAATAAAGATGTAGTGAATCAAATAAATATCTTTAAGTTTTCTGTTATTAGATCATTTATAAAGATGTTCAGATTGATGGCTAAATTGGAAATTGATTTTAAAAAAGCAGTGTTCATTATCATCACTCACATAATAAAATTCTACCATTAAATTCCTAAGATAGAGATACAAACCAAAATAAATAAGCAATCTGTAGACATGTATTGTTTTTTTTATTAGCCTTTAAAAGATACATGTAATGTTTTTTTTTTCAACTAGATCTGTTAGTCTTAAATGGTATCAAGGTACTGGATCATCAAGAAAAGAAATCACATCAGGAACAGCCAAATACACGTTCACTGATTCTAATAGAGTTTTGACCATTAGCTCTGTTACTTCATCGGATGCTGGAGTCTATGAGTGTGAAGGCTCTGTGTCAGGACAGACAAAAACTCTAACAAAATCAACTAGGCTTGAAATTTTAGGTATTTCTATTTTCTTTACTGTAGTTTATTTATAAGAAATAACACTATACGATTATTTATGTCTAACAATATTTTAACTGGTTATATTTTGTCTTGCCATTAAAAAATAATTTATAGCAAAACTTAGGAACTTTGATAAGTGTTACATCTTAATTCTAATAAATATATTATTTTTAAGTGTATTACCTGTTTTACATACAGATTTTGTAAATTGCAAACAAATTCTAAACCAGCTTCAAAAAAAGATTTCTACAGTATTACTACTTTCTGATTTTTAAAACTCTTTTTAAATCAAATTAGAAAATAAAAATTATGCATGTTTTTTCACAGTTCCCCCCAAAATGACCACTTCACCGGATCAAAAAAAGATTGTAAAAGATTTTCAAGAAGTTTTTTTGATATCATGTAACAGTACTGGTCAGCCAACTCCAAAAATAAGTTGGTACTTCAATGGAATTAAAATATCAGACACAAACAGTACAAGGTAAAAGCAGATTCTGTACATCTAAAAAAAAGTTTGTTTTATTGAAATATGAAAATATATGGTACATATATTACTTTGGTTTATTTAGGGATGTGACTTTTCAGAAGTTTGGAGGATTCTAGAAAATTTTTCAGAATTTGAATTTTCAATCCAAATTTTTGTGCTATTTTTCAGTTTTATATTTTCTCACAAAAAAATTCAGGCAATAGTTCTAAACTATTACTGTTCTAGAAATGAAAATTTACATTTTCTTTACCATTATTCTCGCATGCTTGGTACTCAGGGTATAATTTATTTGCATATTTTCTTTGACAGGTATCAGTTGTTCTCCAATGGCACACTTTATATTGCCAGTGTGGATTTAGAAGATTCCGGGGTCTATCAGTGTTTTGGTTCCAATAGTGTTGGTGAAGCTCAAACTTATACACAACTTGTTGTCAACAGTAAGTTTCTTATCATGTACATATTTTTTAATAAATAGATTTCAAACATTTTGTTAAATTTTATTCTTTGAATTTTATTAATACAACAGTATTTAAAACAAAAACTAATCCTCACATAAATATTCCTATGTATTAGGTCCTTTTACCATTTAGTTACTGACTTTAAGCCTATCCAATCAATAGGTGCCCCACCCACAATCACTGAGGGACCTACAAGCAAGGTAGTTATTGAACTAGAAAACACAGGTTTTATTTGCCGAGTCAAAGGTGGCCCACAGCCTGATGTGTATTGGACCAAAAGTAAATATATCATCTTTTGTAATGTTTCTCGTTATTTTTGTTACATTTCTTGGAGTAAAAATATCATCTTAAAGTTATTTATAAAATATTACTATTATTATTATTATTATTATATATTACTTTGCTGTTCAGCTAATGTTTTTAGGCTTATTAGATAATCAGGGTTTGTATGCAGTCTGGAAAGTGAAAAAAGTTTTGAATTTAGAAAAGTGAATTTCATATTTATTTATAAAAATAATTCTTTTATGTATGTAATCAGTATGGTTGTGGGAAAAAGCTCAGATAGTAAAACTTATTTTTCTAGATGGCGTGAATATATCCAATGGAGATCGCTTTTGGATTAACAGTGATCAGCTTTTAATCAGTAGAGTTGTAAAATCTGACAGTGGTCTTTACACCTGCACTGCTGTCAACATCAAAGGACGAGTTTCAGCTAGTGCAAACCTCACTGTTATAAGTATGATGCTCTCTTACTTTTTTAAAAAAAAAAAGCTTATTGTTTGTAATTTTTATCCAAACTGATCACTCAATATAATTATATAACATATTTCATATTAACTATTTTTGCATTTAAATTATCATATTCCATTAATTAACTGTTACTTTGCTTGATTATTACAGTAAAAACACAGATCACAAAGCCACCACAGAACATGTCAAAAATCCTGGCCACAGATGCCACATTGGACTGTGGAGTACTCATTGACCCCTCCATTACCCCCACTTGGTCCTGGTATTTTTACAAGTCTCCTGACTTCATTAAACAGGTTAGTTCAGCAGAAACACTTTATTAATCAAGTGATGAATGCATGTATATTGTTAATTAGTTTTGTGTTTACTTATTGTGTATTCCATTTTCATGGCCCATTTATCACTGTAAATAATTTCATAACTTTAGGTAATAAAGAAAAACTAACTTAAATTAGTTAAATCAATTGAATGAAATTTCACTTTCAAAGTAAAATAGTTGTTAGGTCAAATCTGTTGTTTTTTTTTTCAAAAATTTATGTTCATGTATTAGAAAGGTCCAAATTTTTAATTTATTCTTATTATGAGATGGATACTTACTAAATAGTCATTGCTCAAGTTTATTGAAAATAATAGGAGGATTCTATTGACACTTTCCATTTAGAAATAATAAACAGCTATATATTTTTTGTGGAAATACATAGCTATCATTGTATTTTTGCAGAATATCACATCTGACTCACGATACAGCATCTTGAGCAATGGATCTCTGGTTATTGTTAATTTGAAAGGTTCTGATACTGGCAGATATGAGTGTGCTGTCAAATCCCAAGGTGGCAGTGATAGTAGGATTGCAACATTAACAGTCATTGGTAGGTCATCACCCAAACAATGTTTCATATATGGGACTATTTCCTAGAAGAAAAAGGTAGACATTTATGTTAGCTTTAAAATATTTTTTTAAAGCCATGCTCCAGTAATAAAATTTTTTGTTTTACAGATATACCAGGAGCCCCAAGCATCACAAAAGTTTCCCTGTACTCTCAAATACCCAACAGTGTTATGATAAACTGGACTCAGAGTTATGATGGCGATACTCCCATTATCAAATTTATTATACAGAACAGGCAGGAATCTTTTGGTAAGATTCTATTGGTTAATTAAAACTTACAACTCGCAGCTCATGAACCTAAAATCCCTGAGCTCCTGAGCTAAATGTACACACAAAAAGTGTATTTCATGTTGGTTTATTTTGAACTTTATTTTTTAAACTAAGCTTTTAAATAATGATTAAAGTTACAATAACAGTAGTTTTTTTTTTTTTTATAGCTTTTATAGGTTTATTTTATAGAGAACATTAGAAAATAAATTAGCTATGCAAGTTCTGTAAATCTTGTGTAATGTGATGCCCCACATAGGCTTTAGATCTGATCTCTTAATACTCTGTTTACTTCGTCATAAAAATTTATGTGCATAAGCTTGATAATACATTGCAACCCAGCATTTGTATAGATCTTAAAAACTTTTTAGCTTAAAAATATTTTGCTCAATTTAATTCATGTTAATCTTTTGTCTTCTTAATAAATTCTAGCTGGCATAGATATCAACCGACCGTGGGTTACCATCAACAGCAACGTTGCTCCTGAACTCAGATATGCAGTTGTCAGTGGTTTACTACCCTCCCAGTATTACCGTTTTCAAATGAAGGCAGTCAACCAGGTGGGAGAGAGTGAACCCAGTCCTGCAGCCCCTGCAGATGAGGCTATTAAAATGCCAGCTCAGCGTAAGAGGAAAAATAAACATTGAACTAATTAGAAACTGAAAATAAATTTAGAAACTTGTTTTGTTCCACAAATAAAAAAGTGAAAGTTTTATTTTTTAAAAATCAACTTGGAATTTTTCAACATTATATTACATTTTAAAATAATTGTAAGAAGTATAGAACTGTTGGAATTTAGTTTTATTTTACAAATATAATTTGTATTTTTTAGCACCAAGTGAAGCACCCAAAAACCTGTTCTGTATGCCAGGACAGGGACAAGAGATTGTAGTTCAGTGGGAACCTCCACCAGAAGCATCATGGAATGGCATTCTACTTGGCTACTATATATTTTACAAGGTATTTTGCTCTTTTATTTCAGGAGTCCACTTGCAAAACCTGCAAAGTCACTAATTTTGAGGAAATCAACTTTAAAACTCTTTTTCTTGTTAACTAACCTTATGATTTTTTATATTTTACTGTTAAGAAATTTATTTATTTTTAGAACAAAAATTTGTTTACTGCTTAATTGCCACTTAATTAAGAAGGCTACAAGAATAACTTGCTTTTTTCAAAAAGTGGATTTAGCGAGTATTGCTAAAGTACTCCTCATTTATTTTCATTAATTATTATTATGTAAATACAAAGTAAAGTCCTTCTGTATTCATAAAAAAAATGCTACGCATTCAATAGCATGTATTAGTGTTAAGACTGATGCTACTTTACATTTGCTTGATACTATTTAGATTGAAGCATTTGGCGATGATACAGAAAGACTCCAAAACGTAAGTGGTAAAGACATACGCCAGACCACCATCATCAACTTGGCCTACAACAAAAGATACAGAGTAAGAATCGCAGCGTACAACGAGAAAGGGCCTGGCGTGAACAGTTCAGATTTTTTTGTCGTCACCGCCCAGGGGAAACCAAGTGCTGCCCCTATCAATGTGACCCTTGCTTCACCCAATTCTACTACCATTAGGTAAAGAATATTTTATTCTGTGCCAAATACTTTCCAGTGTGTGTTTTTATTTTACTGGCTTCATACATTCATTTCTGTTAGTCTTTTTATTTAACTTGTCCTTTGAAACCCATGTCATAGAAAATGTTTACTGACAAAGCAAAGCAAATTCATCCTTGATTGTTTCCATAGAGCTGAATGGAATCCACCACCACCTGGGCAGTTGAATGGAGTCAATCAGGGTTATGAAATAGAAGTTAGACAAAATGGCATCTTGAAAAAATTTGAGGTTGTGCGGTTTGATGAACAAAATCCAATAGGGAGACAGGTTAGTCTTGCACTTCTTTAAGCTCTTGTAAGTTGGAAATTTAAAATAAAATTTGTAAATACTCCACAAACTCCAGCACAACAGAAAATTAAAATGTATTGATCTAGTATCTTTATTTTATTTTAAAAGTTAAGAGGATTATGAGTTCAGAATGCAGCTTTACTGTAAAACTGCTTCTATCCAATCAGAGTTGTCTTGTTTTAGTTTTTTGAATAGTATACAGGAGTTTTTAAGTTTATTTAAAATCTTGCAATTGAATATTTTGATTTTCACCTTTTTCAGTCCTATAACATTGTGGGTTTATCTAAGTACACAGTGTATGATGTTCAGATAGCCTGTAGGACAGCTGTAGGAGCAGGACCACAAAGCCCATCCCAGTCTATACGCACACTAGAGGACAGTGAGTAAATGTGTTATTTGGTGGTAATTTAGTTATTTGTTAAGCCAGTAACAGCTGACAGTTTGTTTGCACTGCAGATAAAACAAGTCTTAAGTTCCTGGCTTGAATCACTCAAGATCTACCAACTGTTTAACTCTTTTCAATTCTCTCCCTTAGCCATCGTTCTTATAAGATCGACGCAGAAATGTGTATTTTTGAATAACAAGCACTAAGCTTTTTAAATTTTTTTTAACTGCATTATTTTCCTAATTGTATTATCATTTATAAATAACACACATAAAATGCGAAACTTATTTTCTTATTATGAAAATTGCGAAAGAAAACACTTGAACCGAGCATTTTGGATTTTTCGTGAAGTCGATTTGAGACAGGCAGCTCGAATTAATTGAAAATAAAATGCCTAACGACGAAAGTGACATGAGTTTTTGTGATGAATCGTCTGATGAAGATATTGTGGAAACAGATATCGAAGATTCAGATGAAGATTTGGGAAATACCTCTGTTAGTAACTCTACACAACAAGGGAATAGTCTTCTGTGAGTTTACATCTTTTTTTTTCACTACTAAAACTGAACATTTTTAGTTAAATTACCCCACCTATATATTAATCTTTATAACAAACACCGGTATTAGTTACAGCATTCTTTTTTTAAAAATTCCATGTAATTTGAAGTAATTATATTATTTATAATGCATACAAACATTTTTTTTTTAAATACACCATTCACACCAGTAAATAAAAAAAAATGGTTGCTAAGGAGCTGTTTACATTGGATGCTCTAGCATCTTGTAACTTTGCCAAATCATTTTTGATTTGTATTAACTGTTATCTAACTGTACTTGCTTAGTTACTAAAGTAGGCCTATATTTCAATTTTCCCTTGCTATTAAATTGTATATAATAAATCATTTCATTATTATCTAAGTTGTCAACATTTATTTCATATTTTATTTTTTTGTTTTCAGACCCAAGACAGCATCTGATGTAGACGGTGGTCCCCCAGTTCGCCTTCCCAAATTCTGACCTGCTAAGCAACCTGGAATTCATCTTAGTCAAACTGGGGAGAAGTTAACTAAAAGTGCTGCTAGGGAATTCTTGAGCCCTGTGTCCTTTTTCAAGCTGTACTTCACGGTGGATCTGGTGAAGACAATCGTTATGTACACGAACAAGTATGCAGCACACTGTGGACCAACAAGACCTTCTGTCTTCAAAGGGTGGTATAATTTAAGTATCGATGAGTTTTATTCTTTTTTAGGTTTGCTGATGTACATGTCCATAGTTCAAGCACCAAGTGTAGCAAAATATTGGTGCACATCGTCTCTTTACCATGGCTTATGGGCTCGTAGATTCATGACGAAGAAGAGATTCACACAAATAATGTCTTTTTTAAAGGTTTCAAACTTTGAGACAGAAAACCCAGATGACAAGCTGAGTAAAGTAAGGTTTTTGTATGAATACATTCATAGAAAATGTCAGGCACTTTATCAGCCAAACCAACATTTGTCTATTGATGAAAGAATGGTAAGAAATAAGGGCAGATACACTTTCCATCAGTATATTCGTGATAAGCCAACTAAATGGGGAATGAAACTATGGGTATTAGCTGAATCTATTACTGGCTAAACTTATGATTTTGAAGTTTATTTAGGTAAGCAAGACAAGACACCACAGACTTCTACCTTTGGCTTAGCTTATGATGTAGTAATGCGATTGTCAAAATCAGTTATGAATCAGGGTTATCTTTTATTTTTTGACAACTTTTATACTAGTGTTAAACTATTGAAAGATCTTTTTAAATGTGGAATTGGTGCTTGTGGCACAATTTTAAAAATAGAAAAGGTTTTCCTATTGCTCTAAAAGATGTGAAGTCTTTTGAAAAAGTTTCAAAAAGAGGTGATATGCGATGGTTTAGGGAACGGGAAATTGTAACAGTTCAGTGGCGTGATAATAAAACTGTGTCTGTAATGTCTAATTTTATGACAGCTAATGGTTCAGCAAAGGTAAACAGAAGAACTAAGGTTGGAGGTATTTTTACACAGTTGTCTGTTGATCAACCACATATTATTCAGGAATATAATTCACATATGGGAGGGGTAGATAAGAGTGACCAATTAATTAATAAATATAATGTTCTAAGAAAAAACTAAAAAGTTTTGGAGAACTCTGTTTTTTCATTTCATTGATATTTCTAGGGTTAATAGTTACATTTTATTTCAGGAATGGAGAAAGACCAACCCTGATCTTGTGGAACTTGCTAGGCCAAAAAGATACTTACAGTTAGATTTTACAGAGGAGCTCATTCGAGAATTAGCAAAAATAGATATGTTTCAAGAAATACCCTCAGCTCTTAAACTTAAAGTTACACTTAAAAAAGCTAAAGTTAAGAAAGTTAAACCTAGCCATAGTATTGTTCCAGAATTTAGTCGCTCTAGGCGTAATTGTAAATTATGTTATAGAACTTTAGGTATAGAGAGAAAGGTCACCACTAAGTGTCGCACCTGTGATACGTATCTATGTTTCCATAGAAAGAAAAACTGTTTGTTAAAATTTCACCAGTCTTCTTAAACCTTGTTTCATTTTTCTTTTGTTATCAATAACCTCATCTTTGTAAACATTGATAATAATAATTTCTTTACAAATATTTTTTTTTTTTAAATTTTCACTTATTTCCCCTTACACAGGTCATGTTACTGTTTATTGCATAATTTTTTCAGTTCTTGTTCAAAATGTACTACATCACCTGTTTTATACACAGAAATGAATAATCTATTCAATAAACATTACTTTGTTTTATTATAGAGCAAGGCTTATTTTTTTTCTTCTTTATGTCTGTCATGTCTTTAGTAAAAAAAAAAAAAAAGTCAAATTTAATTAATTAATTAATTAATTGTGGTCTCAAGGTCACACATGATAAAGTTGATTTTATAATTTATGCTGATACTACATTCAATTACCTAAACAGTGATGCATAACACTATATGCTTTCCTTGCTTAATAATGTTTTAGTGAACATTTTACTATATAGACCTGAGGATTCCAATATTTCACTACTAAATCTGAGAATTGTAAAGAGTTAATGTAATTAAAGTAAATAAAGATGACTGTTCACTCAATACCATCATATCTCCATATCCACAGAAATAAGATCTGCATCTGTATTTTGGTTCATCAGGTCTCAGAAAAAGTGTTTTACATCTACATTAAGTCTTTCACTGTAGTATTCTAATTGCTATTCAATCACATAAACATGTCAGACACAATTTCATTTTTCAGTCCCTGGACCTGTGGCAGATCTAAAGATAGTCAATGTTATAGATCAGACACTGAAAATTGTCTGGCAGCCCCCTTTAGAAACTAATGGAGTTCTTACAGGTCTGCATTTGTTGTAAATTATAAAGCTATAATACTAAAATGTAAATAAATAAATGAACCATAAAGAATAGTTCAGTAAATAAGATCTACATATTACCTATATTTGTATTTAAGTATTTCATTTAACCATGAGGTTTTAGATTTGTTATAGCAAAAAAAATACAGCGCAAAATTAAAGGATAATCACAATACTGATATTATTGGTTTGCATTTTACTTTAAATGATAATATCATTATTAATATGTATATTAAATTAAAATATTATATAAGGGTGTAAATAATGTATTGCCTGTGATTACACTAATGTTCCATGTATTACCTGTCACTAATCTAATGCACCGTGTTACAGGCTATACAATCACATACCAAGTCAAAGACAGTACAGCGTCCCCAGTGTCGGTTGACCGGAGTAATGAAACGCTGTCCCACACTTTGAGCAATCTGCTGTATGAGACTACATACATCATCTCTGTACAGGCCAAGACAAAAGTTGGGCTTGGCCCAGCCAAATCTACAGAGATTAAATCAGGAGTCCCACCTGGTAACTGTTTGCTTGATACAAGGGGGGGGGGTGCAATATGTGAGATTATATCAGGAATTCCTGCTGGTAAATGTTTGCTTGATACAAGGAGGGTGGGGGGGTGTAATATGTCAGATTATATCTCGAGTCCCACCTGGTAACTGTTTGCTTGATACAAGGGGTGGGGGTGCAATATGTGAGATAATATCTAGAGTCCCAACTGGTAAATGTTTGCTAGATACAAGGGGGAAATGTGTGTTATTAAATCAAGACTACCACCTTGTGAATGAGTTGCTTGATACAAATGGGTATTAGTTATATTAATATTATAACCATTCAGAAATATTGTAACAAGTTACATTTTATTTAATAGTTTAATGATTACAATTTTTAAAAAAAAGAATTACCTGAACCACCTACACAACTGGCTGTAACCAACATTGAAGCAAGAACAGTTATGTTGCAATTTAGACCTGGAGATGATGGGAAGACATCTATAACCTTATGGATTGTTGAAGTAAAGTTTATTCCCTTATTTAAATGTGCTGTTAAATATTTTTGTTGTTGGAGAAACAGTTTGGAATTTTTTATTTTTTTAAACGATTATCATTTCTCCAGGCTCAAGAAGAAAATAATGCTACGTGGTTTAGAATCTTCACTGTCAGTGATCCATCTGCCGACCAAATTCTTGTACAAAACCTTCGGCCCTACACTCGCTACCAGCTTAGGATCACTGCCCAGAATGTGGTGGGCAACAGCCAGCCCAGTCAGCCCTGCAACCAGTTCCAGACTAAACAGGCAGCGCCAGGTGTTCCTCCAGAGGACGTGACCCCCAGGGCTATCAGCTCTAAGGCAATCAGAGTCAGATGGAGGGTAGGTCTATGTAGTTTTTTTTTTGTCACAAGATTTTTTTTTTACAAAAACAAACCTGAATATGTTCATTGACAATTGATTAATATTGCTGCATTCAAGAACAGCTAGTTACAATTAATCTAGTTCATAGAAAAATACAATTGGAACCTAGACAAATTAAAGACTTGCTCTTTAAAACACAATTTTTGTTTTTCCTTTATATTATGATATATTAATACTATGTGCGCATTCTAGTTTGTTTACTTTTATTTTATATTTGATAAACAGCAAATACCCCGCACAGAATGGAATGGTGACTTCTTAGGATACAAAATTCGCTACAGGAGATGGAGCAAAGATGTGGATGTGAACACGACGTCTGCTGCTGATCTAGATCTAGTGAGGCAGCCTGACTGGACTACTGTGGAGCTAAGCAACGGAAGCAGCATTCAGGAGTGGGTGCTGAGCAACCTTGAAGAGTGGATGGACTACCAAATCTTGATGATCTCCTACAATGCTGTTGGCAGCAGTAACCCAAGCCCCACCCTCTCTGAAAGAACAGAAGAAGATGGTTAGCATTGAAATTAGTCTATGTAGATAATAACATATTTTTCAATTTACCTCTTCACTACTCATATTTTTCCAACATAAACACTAAATTGATCAATTTTATTGAATTTTAAAATGCTTATATTCACAGTCCCCAGTACGTTTCCTGGAAATATTTTTGCCACAGCCACGTCATCCACTAGTATAACAGTTACCTGGCTACCTGTATCCATCTTACAACAGAATGGAAACATCATGGGCTATAAGGTAAAGTGATGTTTCATTTAAAAAGAAATTATTTTGTAGAATGATTAATGTCTAGGTTAAAATATAATGCCATTTTATTAGGTAAGACACTGTGCACAAACTACTTCCTTTAAATCGGGAAGATCATCACATAGATTCACATTGAAAACATGTCTATAGTTTTTTAATTAAATTTGAAAGTAGTGTAAATAAAAGGAGTATTAATTTCAAATTTAGCCTTTTGGGTATTTCTTTTGATTGCTTGTAATTTAGGCCTAATTTCTAATATAAATGATCAAGTTGATTACAAATTGTCTTACTTGGCAGGTTATCTATAAGCCAAGGCTCCCTGGAGCTGAATCAAGTACATATGTGGTCAACGGGGCCACCAAGTTGACCGCAACACTTACTGGTCTCCGTAAATACATAGACTACGACATCCAGGTGCTGGCTTTTAGCAGGATTGGAGATGGGACTATTAGTAACTTTGTCACTGTGAAAACTGCTGCGGATGGTATAGCCTCTTTTACTCTCTATTACATTTCTGTTACTTTTGTTTAAAAGAATTAGTAGTTCATATTTTTTTTTGGGACTGTTTGCTAATCATATGTGTATCGGGGGGAGGGGGTGGGGGGGGGGGGGATTTTTTTAACTCCTGTTACAATTCAGTTGAAATTTAGAATGGGATTAAAGTTTTTTTTTTACTTATTTTATTTGATTGAAAACAATATTAGTAATATTGATTTAAAAATTTTAGTAAACAAATGTAATATTAAAAGCTGCAAACGTTTATCTCCAACAGTCCCAGGGCCTCCAGTCATCATATATTTCCCACAAGTCACTGAAACAACAGCCACAGTGGTTTGGCAGACGCCTAATGAGCCTAATGGCATCATCCAAGGCTATAAGGTCTCCTACAAGCAGAGAGACCAGCCCGACTCAGTGCTGGACATCAACTACACAGAAAAACCTGAGACTGTGTTCCAGCACACTGTCACCAACCTGACCAGGGAGACCTACTACATTTTTGCTGTGACCGCTAGAACTGAAAATGGCTGGGGGGAGGCAGCAAAAGTTGATGTCTACACCATTGCCAATAGAGGTAAAAACAACTAGTAGTGAGTTTTATACTATTAATAGAAAGCTCATTTATTATTCTTCTAAAATTCAGAACTGTTTTAAAAGAATTTTTTAAAAATTTTATTTTATTAGAATGTATAATGCTAAAATGTAATCAGAATTCTAAAGAAATTTAAATAGCTATAATTTTTTTTTAAATTGAATAATTTGCCAATGTTTGTGTGACTGTCTTAGGTCGACCTGATCCTCCAACCCTTCGTATTGACAAAGATGAAATCAAAGCTAGGTCTGTGACCATCATCTGGACAGCTGGCAATGATAACTTTGGGCCTGTTAGAAACTTCACTGCCCACTACAAGAAGAGGGACGACAGTTGGAGGGTTGTGGATCAAGCCATTAAACCACAGTCAACTTCCTATGTCGTTCAAGGGTTAGCTGCTCTTGTATTTGATCAGATTTTTGTGTTTGTTTCACAATGTGTTTTATTAAAAAATATAGAAGCACAGTTTTACAGACTAGCATTTTGTTTTGATGTTATGTTATATATTGGTAGGCATTTATGTTTAATTAAAATGAAATCCTAAATTTTGCTTGATAAACTAACTTGAGTAAATATTTTTTGATAGACAGGGGTATTCTTATAAGTCTTATTATAGTATTTATTCTCCACTTACATTTAAACAAAGCAGTCATATTTTGTATGAAGAAGTCATCAGTCCAACTTTAAGTTAACTTCAACTATTTCTAGTGTAATTTCTGTGCACAAAACAAATATGTAATGTTTACTACTAGTATAACATGACTCAAATCTCTTTGGCTTACTTCCCATGACTCAAATCTCTTTGGCTTACTTCCCATGACAGACTCCAGCCCAACAGTCTCTACATGTTTAGAATGGTGGCCACCAATGATGTAGGCACCAGTGACTTCAGTAATGAGTCCCCTGAGCTACAGACAGCACCTGATAGTAAGTCAACATTGAGTAGATAAAAATCTAGCTCCATTTAGTATTTCTCTTGTTGAATCGTCATTCAATTAAATCGCTGCAATCACCCAATGACATACTTTTTATTTTATACTCTGCTGATCTGGGTGAATAAAAATAAATGTTTGGCATAACCTAAACTGAGCTGATGTTGTCCACAGAACCAGATGGAGCCCCACAGAATGTGAAAATTGTTGCGTTGACTCAAACTTCAATCAAAATTACTTGGGAGGTGAGTTTGTAACTTTTCATTGATCTTTTAAGGTTTGAGAGGGGAGGGTGCTAGAAATGTGTATGACTTGACTTGGTACATTGTCTTGTGTCATACTTACAGAACTAAATCTTAGCAGGCCTGAACACCTTGAGTTATTGTTAGATTTTTGTGTGTCCTACTTGCAGAACTAAGATTTACACAGCTTTCTTAGACCTTACCCTGTTATGGAATCACAAAAAGATCTCAGAGATTCTTTTTGAAATTGCCTTTACTGAGTGGTCAAGACAGTGAAAGGTTGGAAAAAAACAACTCGACATCGAACTTCCATTCTCTATCTAAAATTAATTGTATAGCCGATCAGATAACTATTTAATGTCAATTTATATTTTAAATCTTGCACACAAAAGTTGTGTTATTTCTCAGGTTACTATGAATTTCTGTGAGACAAAAAAAGAAGTCTTGTCATTGTACTGACTACACAATCGCTACAGATATTGTGGCTACAGAAACAAGTTATGTGTAATTCTAGGTTGTCTTTCTTCATAGTTTCTCTGTATTGTGCTGAGTCCATAGCAAGTCCATTTTTATACCCAGTTATGATAGGCTTAGGCCCTAGGTGCAGGAAACCTAAATGCTGCTGGGTATAGTGCTGACCACTTAATCTTTTACATGTTTGATTCTGAAAAAAATTATAGTTTACTATATGTACCCTGTCAGATAAGAGTATTTCTCTGTTCACTTAATGACCAACAGTGGGTATTTTTTTCTATAAAGCCCCTTAAAATGAGTGAATGGAACAGTGACTATCTAATGAGCTACACTGTGAGGTATAAGCTGGAAGAAGACCCAGACACTATGTGGCATTATAGCATTACACAGAATGTAGAGTGTCTTGTTGGCAACCTGCTACAAGGCAGGAAGTACATGAGCAATGTCCAGGCCAGTAATCTCTACGGAGGGGGACCGTGGAGCAAGCCAGGGTTTGGCTATCTGGACATTGGTATTTTTTTTGTTGAGAAATCTGTTCCATCTTCTCACAGTGTTGAGCATAGAGTCAAGTGTTTTGTAGCTGGCTTTACACTGTTTAGTACTCATTGGGCTTTTCATTTGCTTACAATGATACTATTGGTTGATGTTGATTTAAATGTTGTAGCTTTTAGATTGATCTTTCTTGCTGAATGTTATCTTGCCCCTGAATATTGATTGTAATTTTTAGCCTAAATTTAAATATCTCTGATTAATTTGATCTCACTTAAGTTTTGTATGAAGAATTTTGTTCCCTAATAAATGGCCTATTTAATGTCTAAATATGTTTCAGAATATTTAAAAAATATCTTTTCTTTTATTTCTCTTAATGTCGTAGAAACTCTGGTTCATCTTAAAATTTCAAATTATAATAAAATGACTCTTAAATAGGTCTTGTCTTGTGATACTGTTTAATTTAAAATGTTAATCATAATAGGTCTTTTAAAAAAAAAGAAAGAGTTAAACAAAATGTTTAAAATATTAAAAAAAAAAAATCTTACTTGTTTCCATTAATGTCACCATTATACTATTTTTACAAATATATTTTAGAAAATATACTCTTTATTAACCCCCCTCCCTATTATTTCCCCTTGTCTGCTATTATAATTTTATTAACTATTGAGTAGATAGTTTCTGTTTTGGCATGTTGCCTCCCCTCATATGTGCTGTCTAGCTTCAATGATTCGTCATTTACCTATATTAAACAACCCTATCCATACATATAAAAACCAGCCACCTCCAAAGCCAACATGGAACGGAAGCCCTTTGAATGATGTCGTACAATACAGAGAGGAAGGGGCTGGGGCTTTCAGAGAGGATGTGGTGCCTTTTGGAGCATCCACCACAACCTTGCAAGCCCTTACCATTGGGATCAAGTATGAAATTCAGATTCTAACCACCAATAGTGCTGGCCGCGGTCCGCCTAGTATACTTCAGGTTTTTCGTGTTGGGGATGTTGGTAAGAATTTTTTATTTCATCAGACCAAGGCAACTAACACTGAAGAAATCTGGCAAGATTTAAATTAATATATCTTTAATATAAGACCTTTTTAACTATTAGAAAATTAACCAAGACATATTTTCAATTGTATTATAAATGTAATCTTTTTGCGTTTAACCATTTAATGTTGCAGTTCTGTTCCACTAATAATACACATTCATTTGGCATTCAAATATTTCATTTTTGTTGCTTTTATATTTGTGATTGTTTGATGATGTTTTCGTGTTTTCCACTTTTTTATGTGCTTATTAAAACTTTGTGTCTATTTATTTTACTTTTAACTCATATGAAATATTCTAATCTGATTATTTATTTAATTATTAAAACACTAATATTTTTAATATGATCTTAAACTTTTTAGAAATATTTAATTTAAAAAAAAATGCCTTTAATCGTGATTTAAATGAAATTTTCAAACCATAAAAAAATTTTAAATTCAATTTTCCATGATTCTTTATAGATTGTGTTTAAGTATTTAAATTAAAATCTATAAGCGTTTTCAACTATACCTTTAATTTTTCTACCTAATTTTAATCCTGTAGCCCCATTCAAAGCTCCAGAAAATGTGCAAATGTTCAACCGGAGCTCTACACAGATAGAAATTACCTGGCAGCCACCACCTGCAGGCTCAACCAATGGACAGCTGATTGGATACAAGGTATTTTTCTAGCAGTATTTACCTGTTACTATGGAGACATGGAAATGAAGCTCAATAAAACAAAACCTATGAAATTAAAAAAAAATTTTTTTTTAGCATTCTTATAAAAAATGTAATCAGTGATTAAATTTTATAATTAAATTATATGTGCTGTATATAACAACTTGGAGAGGCATAGCTGAGAATTTTCCGTTAAGAAACAGACTGTTGAGTAACAGCCTAGAAAGTGGCCAGAGATCACCAGAAATGTAAACAACTTTCTGTGATGCTTCATGTATCCAGGGCACCAACAAGGGAAAGATGATGATTTCAGTGCTACAGTTTTTAAGCTGTTAGTTTATTTATTAAATCCCAAAAGTCAGTGCTAAAACTCACCGCTGTTCTTTAGAATGATAACTGTAATTATAGTACTATTTAGAGTAGTTTCCCTTTGGTTTGTATCTTTGTTGAGGTTATTTTGTGTTTTGCTTGTACCAAATAATGTATTCTACTCGAATATTTGCTTAGGAAACAATGGGTAGTGAGAAATATTTTTTTAATAGGATATCTAAATAAAAAAAAATTAGGGTAGATATATGACCCAATCATTGAGATAAAAGAATCTATTGCATCATCATTGAGTTTTAAGATCTATTTTATCACTCTGCCTCATTCCAATATTATTTTCTATTCCAGGTTTTATTTTGGCAATCTCCATCTAACGTGTGCGCAGATGGCAGCCCAATGCAGCTGTCTGTGACAGAACTGACGGCTGTGGTGAACAGGTTGTCCCCCTTCACCTACTACTGCTGCACTGTTCAAGCCATCAACATAGCAGGGGAAAGCCCAAAGAGCACACCTGTATCAAGGATGACATCAGAAGATTGTAAGCAAATTGTTTTGGTCTACAATAGACACCTGCCATTGGTTTTTTCAATGCTTCAGATAAAACAAAAAATCACCATGTTGTTAACTATTTATAAAGAACAATGTGCTTTTTTTTTAACACAAGAGACCAGCTAGATATAATATCTTTAATAAATTAGTCTTAAAATTATATAGGACTCATTTTTTTACCTGATAAGTCTCAAGTTAAGTGTTACCATTTTCCCTGAGTCCACCCAGCTTTGATGAGTACCTAGCTCAAACTGTATCTCTCCTTCTGAATTTTGTAAAAATAATTTTAAAAGTAGAGTATCTTGTCAAATGCTTTGAGTGTAAAAAAAAAAATGTATAGGATAGTCTCACCTTGTAATTTAAAATAAATTGTTTTTTTGACTCCTCAGTACCTGGCCCACCAGAGAACGTCAGGTTCCAGAACATCACACTCAATGAGCTGATCATTCTGTGGAACCCTCCCAGAGTGCTGAATGGGGTGATCACACATTACACACTGCAATACTTCACTTCTGTTGATGACCGTAAGCTTACTTTGCCTCTAATTAAATTTGTCTGTAAATATTATCTAAAATCACACTATTTTGGTTATACTTTTCTTTTTAAATATAAAAATTAGTGTACAATACCTTTTAAGTTATATAAACATTAAACATGAGTTTCTAAAATTCTTGTCATTTCACCAAGATCCTAACTATGATTTGTTTACAGAGCAGACAGATATTTCCAATCTCAGAATCCCAGGAACAGAGACCAGGCAGTACATTGACAACCTGAAGGAAAATCTCAACTACACATTTTCTCTAAGTGCCAACACTAGGATTGGTAAAGGAGCCTCTAGAGACTTGAGTGTTACTATAGGACCCCAGAAAGGTAACTCACAAGCTTGTCAGCTTTATTGACATAGACTTAATTTTCTTTCATCTGTTAAAATAAAAAAAAATGGTTACTAATCAGCACTAATTAAAATATACAACAGTATTTTAAGTTTTAGATTTTTTTTTTTTGCAAATCTGACAAACCTTTGTTCTATTCGCAATTTGTGTGAAATACTTTGTCCTGTTTTATGCACATTAAAATGTCTAGTCAGCAGTTTGACTTCATTTGATTAAAACAAAATGGATATATTGTCTTTGCTTCATGAAATTTAAGAAGCTAAACTAAAAGTTATATTTTAGATATGTAAAAAAGTTCTTATTTTAAACCAAATATAGGCTGAATTCTGTCTCAGGTTGCATTTCCATGGTGAAAACATTTTAATGTCAGATTATGTAAAAAAACAAATCTCTGAATGAAATTCTATAAACTGGACGTTATGTTACAGGTTCCCCTGAGGCCCCCAAAAAACCAGAGATTACAACCCAAGACAAGGGGAAGACACTGCTACTCTCATGGGCCAATCAGGGGCAAGGTGCTACTCCAGTACTTGCCTACAAGATTTATTATAAAGCAGAGGGTAAACAATTTTCATTTTTCCTAAATAAAAATATCAGCTACCTTAAAACATTGTATGCTGTTTTTAAACTGACAAAATTAAAAATAATTCATGTTACAGCTTTTGTCAGGATTTTAAAAAAAAAGCGTTGTAAATATACATTCCATATGAATAAAAAATTTAATTTTTAATCATTAAAAATCTGTTTTTCCCTTTGATGCTGTTCCACTAATGATCCATTTTATTCTATTACCAGGTGGTTTGTTTTGATAGCTTGTTTGTTGTTAGGGTGAAATAAAGATTGTATCTAAATGACAAACCTATTGATAAACCATGCTCATGGTGTAGTTACATATCATGGTGTATGTCCCCCACAATTAAAGTCCATTTATTTTCCTGTATTAGATGACCAGACCTTTAGTTTTGTGCTGGATGTGAACCACCCAGACCCCACAGCACAGATCTCAATCACCAGTCTTAGACCCAGCATTGGCTATTATTTTCAAGTCCGAGCAATCAACTCTAATGGCATCAGTCTGCCTAGTGCGCCCTCTGACCTCTACACAACACCAAGCACAGCAGGTTAGTCTGGCTAAGATTGAGAATAGTCAAGATTATAAACCAGTTCATCAGCTTGTGTGAATTGTTTTACCAGAAGTTAGCAACGTCTGAATGATGTTACCGTTCCCCTAATACTCTTCTATTTGATTTATTTAAACTAAATAATTGTCTACACATATGGTGGATGTTGTCATGGTCTGTAATATTTCTGTGTTTGGTCTGTCAGTACCTGTCAAGCAGTCGTCAAGTCCATTTCACACACAGTGGTGGTTTCTTGTGATAGTGGCTCTAGCTGGTGTTATCATCATCCTGCTTATTATCACTGTCCTGTGTTATGTGGAGAGGCGCAGGAGAAAGGGAAGTAAGTGCATGAATTCTCCAACAGTATTGTATATTAGTCACTTTGTAATATTACCGGTGACCGACAAAAGTGGAGGGAACTTTCTGTGGCATTCCAATGTGTCTTGGGCACAAAAAGGGAAAAGATGATTATTTACTTTGTGTTTACAAAAATTAAACATCCAATCAAATCAAATTAAAAGCAACTCATTTTTTACAACAATATTTAGCAGTTTGAAATCCACTTATTATTTAATTAAATGCTTTAAAGACTAAACTCATCTTATGTTTTCCTTATAATGTTGTAGAAGAATTAAAGCGTTCAACAACCTCCACAACTGTAATGACAACCACTCCGGAGCCTGAAGAAGGAGGTTTTCCTTCTATGGAGTTACGGCGCTCTACCAGAAGTGTCCAGAGGAATGGCAGAACTTCAAGTATATATGCAAGGCAAGATTACATTTTTTTATTAATTTTAGAAATCTCTGAATACTTCCAATATTTAAAAAAACACTATTCAGTACTTTAAAATTTTCTTAAATAAAAATCGTTCACTTCTAAAAATAATAAAAAAAAGTGCCCTGATTGTGTTTCAAATAATATCCATAGGTCACCACCTCGGCCCAGCCCTGCAAGTGTGACCTACTCTGAGGGCAACCTACATTTAGTGGGGGCCACAGGTGGAGCCATACGACCCGTCCAGCCGGACGACTCAAGCTCAGTCCTGTCAGAGAAACCCTCCAACCTCGGGGACTCATCAGATGAAATGGTAGGCAACGCCAGCACAGTATTTTTTTTTACGTGCTTGTTATATAAACTAGATTTAATTAAAGAGAGAGGCTTAGCAGATGAAATGGTTATAAAATCTAGCTCTGTATTATTTTTTTTTTTGCTGGTTATTTAATCTAGACTTATTTAACAACTGGTATTCCTCTGAGGAATTGAAACGCAAAACTATTTTTTTTTTTTTTAATTTGCTTATCATTTAAACTAGGTTTAATTTCATACGCAATGTATTGTTAATAACTTCATAAAATAAATTTTAGTTAAAAAGTAATGAAATGAGCTTCATAAAATAAATTTTAGTTAAAAACTAATGAAATGAGCTTCATAAAATAAATTTTAGTTAAAAACTAATGAAATGAGCTTCATAAAATAAATTTTAGTTAAAAAGTAACGAAATGAACTCTATAAAATAAATTTTAGTTAAAAACTAATGAAATGAACTCTATAAAATAAATTTTAGTTAAAAAGTAACGAAATGAACTCTATAAAATAAATTTTAGTTAAAAACTAATGAAATGAACTCTATAAAATAAATTTTAGTTAAAAAGTAATGAAATGAACTCTATAAATTACTTCCAGAGTGACAGTGATGCCAGCAGCATGGATTCCATTGCCAAAGGTCCAGTACCCGCATCCCCTCCTCCACCAGCTTTTAGTAACCATAACAACCACTACAACAGGAGCTTCAGCAACAACACCAGTAGTGGGGCGGGCGCCAGCACCAGTAAGCCGCCCAGCAGGCACCATAACCCTCCTCCCCGCTTTCAAAGCCCACACAACGCCTACACATACACTGACAGTGAGGCGGAGAGCAGCCATTACGCCTTCAGCTTAACAAATGGCAACTTGGTTGTGAACAATGTGGCAGGTGCCAGGACACCCTTGTCAGGTTTTTCTTCATTTGTATGACAAACATCATTGTGCCTAATAGCACAGTTGTAACAGTTACAATTTAATCATTTATTTGCTTCCATTGATTCTTGAGATCAAGTTGAAACCTGCCTGTGTACAGTGAGGAAAACTGCTCAATGTTGGAGTTATTTAATTATCGTGGCACTTGTCTCAGCAGGATTGTTGATGAATGCTAGTCATAAATTTGTGAATATCAAAAAATTGCCCAGTTAGAAGGATTTTGTTGTAAAGGGAGACAAACCAATTGGAAGATGAAGTTTGATTGCTATTGGATGAAGGTGCAACTATTGCAACAAGGAGCTGATCTCTTACTTCAGATCTTTCTGCACTGATTTCTGTGATGAATTTTCTCTGATAAATGTATAAGCCTTAATCTTGTTGTATAATCTTATCTGTAAACTTGTTATGTAATGTTGATTTCTTATTCTTTTATAATATTTATAGGATTATTTTAAGAAAATGATTTAATATATAAATCAATAAGGGTTGATTTTTATATATTCAATTTTATATCAAATATGATATTGTGTGGCAGCATCATTTTTGTAAGTGGTGACATTTTTTGTATGTGCTTTAGATTTTAATTTTGACCTTTAAACAAAGCATGTATGTTTCACTAGAAATCTAACCCAAAAACAAGAAGAAAAAAGTTCCAACTTAAAAAAAAGTGTTGTCAAAATCTATAAGGGATGCCCAAATCTTCCAGTTTGCTATGTAATGTAATTTTTAAGAATCTCATAGTGACATTTCTTTTGTAGGTTGATATCTTATGAAATATGTGTAATCAATTACTTGATTTAAACTTAGTAATCTTTAATCATATTGATATTTATACAACCATTATATGATAGAATGCAATATACTGTCATTGAAAATGTTTTTTTTTATAATGAAAATATAATTTCAGCATAAATATTTTATAAATTCCATTTTATTTTTGTATCTAGTGTTTTATTAAAAGAAAGTGTGTATTTTTAAAGTGTAAAAAAAGAGAAATGACAAAGTGATATTATGAAGCAGAGCTTTTTTTTATATATATATATATGAACAATTTTGGAATATAGAGGTAAGGTTTTCAAAATTTTATTTTGTAGATTGCATGATTAGAGTTTTTATTAGATTAAAAATAACTCAAATCTTGAGCTGTACATTTTCATTAGCATTTTTATATATAACATTAAAAGACAAAAAAAATTAGACTACTTAAAATTTTGCATCATCAGTTTGAGTTTTGTAAAATAAAATTGAAAAAGAACTGATTCATCTATCAAATTCTGCAATGTTTTATGGATCTTTATTTAAATTATTTTACAATGTCAAATAATTTGAGATTGAACTGTAAATGGTGTATATTGATTTATGTAAAACTGAAAAGCTTTTAATCTCATAAATCAAAATTGTATTTATTATTGTCTATTATTGGGTTTAGAGTAATTTAAGTTGTTTTTTAAACTTTCGTTGTCATGAACTGCTGCAAAAAAGAATAACAAAAATTAGGTTCCCCTGTTTTGGTCAGAAAAAGTAATTTAAATAGCTCTGCCATTGTTTTAGTGTAATTTTGTGATTCTTGCTTTTTTTTTTGTTTTTTTTTTTGTGTTTAACCAAATTTAGAGCAGGGGTTAGCAATCTGAAGCCAAATTATGAAACATTTAGCTCTTTTAATTAGTAAACAACTTAGGTTATTGATTAAATGACTGTATATCCCAACAAGTTTACCGACCACTTATATAGAAGAATTATTTCAATTTATATATATGTGTAAGCACAACAACACATATAGAACATTCTATTTAACAAATTATTTCGTAACCCAGCAAGATACCACAGGGTGTTTCTCTGTCACTGACAGGAACTATCCATATGTATTCTCACTGTTTGTATATATTCATGTACGTCTATTATTATGGCCTTGAACAAAGTCTATTTTTCTTTTTAAGGTAAAATTTCTAAACATATATTGACAGCTCTGTTTTGATTAAGTTAATCATGTTTTGTCTTTAAAACATAACCAAATTTTCTTCAAATGCCTTCTTTTTCTTGCAATTTTTCATATAGTGTAACTATATGTTGATGTGTTCTCTTCATGCAAGCCTTAATAATCACAAGTACTTGATTCAGACTGCATTCCCAGTTACAATATTAAAGTGACAATAAGTATATTAGTATTGAATTTGTTCATACCTCCTTACCTCTCTTGGTGCTGAGTTATCTTCTCTTGCTGCTTCAGTATGTTAATGTTATAGATATTATGTGTGACCTGATTGATCAATGTATAATAACTACCATTTGATTTTTACAAATTTTGATGCAAGCTCAATCATTGCAAAGTTGATCCTCAGCGGTTTCCCTTTATTTTGTTATGCTTATACACTAGATGTTGTACATACAAATTTTGTTTTAAAATATTATTTATGCAAATTTATATATAAATCCATGTATATAATAGCTGAGCTATTCAGACACTGTTCTGTATTATTTACCATGTATGATGAAATACCAGTGTTGATTTTATTTAATGTTCAGTTTGAAATACAGGAGATGGTCATGTAGCTTGCTTGAATTGATTTTGAGCTTTAAACATTTTTGGTAAAGTTGTTTGTACATTTCTATTTTTTAAATAAACACTTGTAAAAATAATGTAATTTATGATATTTTAAAGTTTTGACTTCTGTAGTTCTAAGAGGAAGAATACACTTTCATTTTAATGGAGCTTAACTTTAAAGGTAACAATTTAACTACTTGTCACAACAAAAAAAAAGATTTTGTTTTTGAAGTTTAAGAATAGAGAATTTCATTTTGGAACATACAAATATAAGTCTTCGTGAACTAAGTAAGAAATATAAAATCAATCAAAATTAGATCCAGTACATGACAGTGATGTCGAATAGCTGACACAAAATGCTAGCAATTTTACATGGAAAAATTACTTATTCAATGTTTGACAACTATATATAAGCTCATCACACATATATTAAAAGCTGGTACATAATATTATTTGACATAACTGCATAGTACTTATTTTTATTCAATAAGTTAAGCAATCAAACGTTTATAGTCATGTGTATAAATATCAGAAATAAACTAATTAGAATCATTGCTTTGTCCTGGATTATTTTTTTAATCTTTCATGCTATATTTTTCATGATTATTTTTGGTATTTCAACACCCCCCCCCCCCCCACCTAAACTTAGTACAGGAAAAAAGAGACACAATTCTGGTTTTGAGTACTTTTACTATGCATAAATGTTTTAACCAAAATATACACCTTCACAATATTTTTTTTTGCCCAGTTAACAACTAAAATATTAACCTCCTAAGGGCAACTAGAAATAAATTGCAAAACATGTTGCAAATAGTTGTGTATGGCATTTCTCAATCATAAGAGATAATGATTAATCCTCATTGAAACCAGCCTCTTATGATACTGTTGTTTAATTGCAGATAGAATAAATTATGTCGTTATGTAGATCCTCAACAAATGACAGCCACTGCTAACATTCCATAAGGCACTTAATAACGGTGCAAAGCTGCCTAGTTAAACCCTGAATTAAATTTTGAAAAAAAAATTTAGTTGATTTCTTGACACTATAATTTAATATAATTATAGCTTTTCCAAAATAGTAAATTTAGACATTCTGAGTCTTTAAAAAATGCAAGCAAAACAATATATATTTTTTAAAAAAATCTATTCTAAATTAATAGCCTGGGTCATGGATAATGGTTTTGTCAGGTAGGGTAAGAAAAAAACTACTGCATATGTCCGGCATTGTTTTAGGAAGTTCCTTTTATTTAGATAACATTCATATACCTTCAGTTTAAAGACAATATGCTTTGTTAAGTTTTATGAAAGAACAAAAAAAAGGAATTTTAAAGGCTTGATGTGCAATTTTATTCGTTGTGGAATACAGCCTGTTCTGTGGAATACAGCCTGATCGTTGTGCATAAGGTCAGATCAGTGGGGAGGTCATATGGTGAGGAACTAACAGGTGAGAATATTTACAATTGACAGACAGGACAAAAATACACAGTGCTCATTGCATAATCTACTTATCATTTGAACATTCAGTAGTGGGTCAAATATTTTAGAAAAGAAGTAATTACTAGCGTACTAACTGTACCAAATCTAAAGAACTAAGGGTAAATGACTCACTTGAGTTACAAAACATTTAAACATATAACATTGTTATCCCCCCTTGTTGAACAAAGCCCATGTCAAAGATGTTTAATCTGGTTATCAAGGACTGAGTTTCCAATCTAGAAACAAGCTGTCACTTTAATATAAAAAAAACTTATTAGGAATTACAATACAAAAATAATGCCACCTTTATTCAGCTAAAATTCTTTTTTTAAAAATTGTATTTATGCATACAGCTTTTAAAAATTCTTCTTTACCTAGTCCTATGACAACAAAAAAAAAACAAAATAGCTAATGGCACTAATGGGGAATTAAATAAATACATTTATAATATTTATATATTATACACGTGATATTTGGATAGTGATGACTATTTTATAGTGAATTACATAAAAGTAGCTTCATTATAACTGACCTTAAAGGAGAGTCACATCATAACATTCAGAGCTACTGTTGGTGACCTTTTATGGCATAGCATGAAATTGTAAATAGTACTAATCAACATCAGTAAGCAATAAATGTTCCACTTTCAAACCCAATACACCCAATACTGTGTTGTGTTTCATGTAGAAAAGGTATGTAAAATACTTTACAAGATGTAAACAACTACACAAGCATCTGTAGCACTTTTAAACAGATAAACTAATATACAGATATATCAAGGGTATAGAAGACAAAATCGATATTATTGTATATTCGAATAGTTGTGAATATGAGCTTGTAGAGCACAATGGTAAAATGTCCAAAAACAATACCAATCATTGCATAAAACGCAAAACACGTTTATAGTACCTTTCTTTCAGCAACCTCAACAGAACACAAATGTAGTATTGGACAAATAACGTCTGTGCATTAGAAATGTTTGTGATTTATTTCGTCAACTGGACATACTACAAAACAAGATGGCCACCAAACCATGCCATTCATTAGAAATTCATTTCATAATGATCAACACATTGAAACAGTTGACCCTGATCAACACATTGAAACAGTTAGCCCTGATCAACACATTGAAACAGTTAGCCCTGATCAACACATTGAAACAGTTGGCCCTGATCAACACATTGAAACAGTTGGCCCTGATCAACACATTGAAACAGTTAGCCCTGATCAACACATTGAAACAGTTAGCCCTGATCAACACATTGAAACAGTTGGCCCTGATCAACACATTGAAACAGTTGGCCCTGATCAACACAAGCAGATGGCCCTGATCAACACATTGAAACAGCTGGGTCTCATCAGTTGGTCCAACTGTACTTTGAAACAACTAATTCATATCAATTAGTTCATTCAGCTATAGCTAATGAATTAACAACTGGCTCTACTGAAACAGAATGCTCTAATCATATCGTCCATGTGTACTTTGATACGACAAATTCATGCAAATCTGGTGATTCAGCAATCACACGTGAATTAACAGCAGGCTCAACTGCTGTAGATGCTGTAAACTTTGATCCAAATTTGATTGACCAACTGGACACAGTAATCACAAATACAATCAAGCAGATTGAAACAGCTGGCTAGCCTCAATCAGTCCAACCTGCATGATGAGCATGGAAATGTTGCAGATACCAAGAACCAAAAAAGTAGGAGAAAAAGAAAACCTGAAAAATGGAAACGGTAAATCAGACAAAAGACACGCAATGATGGGGTGTTGTACATTTCCAGAAATGTCAAGACAGTTCCTGCTAAATATCCCAAAACAGTCGATTGCAGAAAATATTATAGTCTTTCAAGTTATGATATGAAAAAACTATTTTTGTGCAACCTTGTTCTTGAAGAACCTACCAAAAAGCAGCGACCCAAGTCAGCAACTCCAGATTGAAAGAAAAAGAAACAAAAAAGTCGTGCATATTTCTTAAACTCGAATGATGATACAAACAGAAGAGTTTGTCTGCAAAATGATTTCATTTTCATTTAGATGTGTTGACTCGGCAATGGCAGGAAAGCGGGATTCTGGAGCCTTCGTGGGAGGTGATAAAAGGACGACCAGCACCAAATAAACTATCGGAATATATTCTTCTTGTTTTTATACAATTATTTGATATTTGGTACAACTTTTCATAAATTTCTCTAATCCTCTGTTAACACAAATGTTGCCTGTCCATATCTGTCTACCTTGCAACAAATTATACCCTTTTAAAGTAATTAAGGATAAGTTACCATTTATACAATTAAATATCAGACACTAGACATATTATAGTTTGCATTTTTATAAGAAACGTGTTCTTATAATACTGTGCATATAATACAAACGGGTTAGAACATTGAAATTCTTTTTTCTCCTCTTTCATGTTTTTCAGATATGATACATTTGTCTTCTATACCCTTGATATATTTGTAACCTTATCTTTCCAATGTTTAGGTCTTGCCATTAGCTTGCCATGAAAAATTACTTTTCAAAACAATGACTAACTGTAATGACTATTCTAAAATCCAAAGTTTATTAATTACTATGATGACAAGTAGCCTAAACTTCACAACAAGACACTCAATGATCTACACACAGACAAGTAGACCCACTCATCCCAATATCCCCTGGCACAAAATGTTATAGTACAATATCTACACCTAGCTTGTAGGTCAATTCACTAGTATTCTACAATATGAGATGTTCTAAATTTATAGATGTTGTTTATAAAATCTGATGTACACAGCATCAATGTTTACTCACACAAAAGCCAGTAAGCTCTGACGCAGCTATAATTAAAGGAAAAATAGGTGTTGTCATTAAATCCAGGGTAATTAAAAAGGTCGTCAGATGTTCATCACAATTGTCTTGCCACAAGATTTTTGTGGTAATGTCCACTTTAGAACACAAGATGTATGTTGTACTGTCCATTGAAATTTTACAAGTTTATGTATCCTCAAGAACTCATATCCACTCCAGCTATTGCTTGAGAATAGCCTTTCATCCAGAAGTCTATCTTTAACATGTTGACATCTTTCCCATTATCTGTCATGGAGCGAATGATTTTCTGCAACCTACGGAGAAAAGTACATTATGTTAAACTTTGAAGTTGAGAGAAATTATATGCATGCTGTATTGTTAACAAATCTACAGCACACCAAATCACTATAAAATTAAAGATTTTTTAGGTCAACTATTTACATGCAAAGTTTTGGCTAAATATGTAAAAAATTAAACAAGACTAACAATTTGAAAGATAAAAATATTACTGACATCTCCAATGTTAAAATATTCTAATGTGAATAAAAGAAATAGCTATTAAATCAAATATTTTCATGTAGATAGCATAAAATATGTATCTATAAGTAAACAATTTATGTGGATTTTAAATCAATTTTTAAAACAACTTACTCAGCTTTCTTCTTGTTTTGCTCTGCTAGGCTGGACATGAGTTTGTTACATGCTTTCTTTTTCTACAAGTAAAATAACATATTTCAACAACAAAAACTAAAAACATAATCATTAATTAAACTAAAATATTTAACACTGATGAACTAAACATTTGGTTCCTTTACCAAGCATTAAAAAAACTGACAAATAAAAACAAATAAAAAAGAGTAAAAGATAACCAAGGCACTAAAAATGTTATCTTAAACCTTATCTCACCTGTTGTATAGTTTTCTGTAACTCTTTCATTTGTACAAGTTTAGAGATCTAGTGATTGAAAGTAAATACATGCTTACATAAAACAGGAGATTTTCACTAACAAATTTAGAGATTTATTGATCAAAAAACTAAATTGTATTTACATGCAAGTAAGAAAAAAGACAGGGCAGACTATAGTCAAATGAATGATTAAAACATCAAGATTTATAGGGTTAAAGAATGACTCTGTAGTCAGTTAAAACCATTAAACATGTACCTTAGTTCTGATACTGCTTTTGAAACCCCTCATGACCTTTTGAATCACTCTTTGTCTGGCTAAGGTTTCCTGTTTGCTGGAAGAAAACAATAGGTAACATTACAGATACCATGTGTTGGACTGTCAATGTTAGACACTAATTATGTTGGACTGACAATGTTAGACACTAATTATGTTGGACTGACAATGTTAGACAGACACTAATTATGTTGGACTGACAATGTTAGACAGACACTCATTATGTTGGACTGACAATGTTAGACAGACACTAATTATGTTGGACTGACAATGTTAGACAGACACTCATTATGTTGGACTGACAATGTTAGACAGACACTAATTATGTTGGACTGACAATGTTAGACAGACACTAATTATGTTGGAATGACAATGTTAGACACTCATTATGTTGGACTGACAATGTTAGACAGACACTAATTATGTTGGACTGACAATGTTAGACACTCATTATGTTGGACTGACAATGTTTTAGACAGACACTGATTATGTTGGACTGAGACAACAGATGATAAAACAAAACAAGTGACCCTAAACTTAACTTTCAAATTTTTGGGAATAATAAAAAAAAATTTACCATAATAAATCTTCAGTGTCCATAACAGCTTGTAAAACAACATCATAAGCTGTTATGTCTGTCCCCCTCCTATGGTGATCTCCAGGACACCACAGACGCACCATCTTATCTTTGCCTGGGAGAAGAAATGTGGATCAGGCTATTAGGGAACTTAAAGTAGGCATACAAACAAATTTAAATAAAAACCCAAAGACAACAACACAAAGAATATCAAAGACTTATGTCACTCAGAAAGCAATGCAATCAGAAGGAATACTGTTTGCAGATGTAGCTAAATGATTTAAGGAACTTTTATTTGAAAGAAATTTTGTTAAATGAGAAATGTCTTAAACCTTAAGAAGCTTGTATTTGTCTAAAGAAATGTGTATGCACAAAGAAAACAATTATCCATAGAAATGATTACATATGGTGTAAGAAAAGTATATTTAAAACATACAAAATGCATGGCTATAGATTGTTACAAGGTTATTAATTCAAGGCTAGATGGCAAATTCACTAAAATATAAAATGTTCAGTTTATTTTATTCCTAAAACATCCATTCTAGCAAATTAAGAGAGCATAGAGGCATATAACAACAAATGACTTTAACAAGAAGAATAAATAAATCAGTAAATATTTTATACTTGTCAAATGCTTACTTTTGTAGGGAAAATAGAAGTGATAAGAAATAACAAACAACCACAACAATCTCTTCTTTTCAACAATACAATGGCTCATCAGAGCTTCAAGTAATCCTTAGCTTTAACTAAGGGGTGAAACACTAGTGCACAAACCTCTCACAATGGATGAACATATTTAAATAGGGTAATAGGTATGATAAAAAATTATTAAATGATGTAGAATTTTAAATTAAAATTTAAGTAAGGATTTGCTAGTTGATATTCAGTTTTTACTAGTAGCAGCTTGTTAATTGTGAATAAAAATGTTTATAAATATTTCAATATATTTTAATTTTAAAAAGTAATAAACAGTGTAGCATCTCAGTGGTGAAATTTAAAAAAACTGAGGAAAAACAGGTGTTTAAAGGAACAATAATTTTATCTAATAATTTACTAATATAGCAGGTTATTTCATTATAAATTATAATAAAGAACCTGTACCTTAATTAAAGGAGACCAAAAACATGTTTTCAACTTTTCGGCAACAAATAAAAGTCCAAACAAAATTGCAAATATAAAATGACTACAATGAATACTTTACCTCTCTCATCATCACTGGAAGAACTGTAGGACTCTTCCAACTGCTCCATCTCACTGTACAGATTCCTTTTCCTGATGATTTTCTTAGTCCCAACAATAGTGTCATTGTGACAAGTCTCACTCCTACTCACTGCCAGCAGAGGAACAGGTGTCACAGATTTTGTCTTTTTTCCTTTTGATTGTTCCTTCACAGCCTTGAGTTTTTTCTTTCCATGAGATGGTGCAACACTGAGTATATGAAGTTTGTCAATAACCACCGATGACTTTTGTCTATGGGCAGCTTTAGTTTTACAGACCGGTAAATTTGATGAGGTACGAGGGTGATTTAGACTTAATTGCGTAGGTGGTTTATCATGCAATGTTGGCTGTATTTCATCATCCATAGAATCACAGTTAGAATCACTAGTTACATCACTGCTTGATGAGGCAACTTTCCTTTTGTTTGTGGCCACTTTGTCATGGCTGAAACTCTTCTTTTTACCGAATGTCTCAGTTTGACTAGTATGTTTAGAGTTAGATGTACTAAGAGAACACTGCCTTACATGGCTGGGGATCAGCGCTGTGACTGAAGATTTATGTTTAGCTCCCATTTTCTGTTTGCTAGGACCACCGTTGAATGAATTTGTATCAAGTGACAACTCTGGGCTCTTTTTATTTATTTTTTTATTAACTTTATCATCCTTGTCAGAGTTGAAATCACTCTCCATAGAGCCTCTTTTTGTTTTTCTAGAAGAAAATTTTTTATGGTCATAGTTCATAAATTCCAAATTTTCCTCACCGTCTGTCTCACTATGCTTATTTACTGACACTGAATGGCTCGGTGTAGGCACTTTTTTGCCTACAGTTGCCTGTTTATCATTCTCCTCTGGTTTTTTATTTTTAGTTTTCACCTTGACCTTGGAAGGTGGCTCTGTGTGAGGTGGTGTTTTTTTCAGACTGGCGTTTGAGATAGTTGAACTGCTGTGGTCAGAGAGCTGTTTGGCTGAAAAGTAAAACTCCATTGGGTACTGCCTATGCTGCTGGACACTTTCAGGTGTGGGCAGAAGGCTTCGGTCGCGCAGACCTCGCCTCCCCACGGTGTCTTGCTTTTCAGTTCCGTTTGGCAGGTGAGGGGGAGAATTTTTGTACGAGCGATTTTTTTCACTATGATTGGTTGATGCATCATGGTTATTTTTTGAATCAGCAGCTAAAACATCCTGTATTTGTAAAGTGTCATCCTTACCTACAACTTTTTTGTCTGATTTATCCACCTGATGATTATTCTTTGACTTCATCTCCTGTTTGGATGTAGATGGTAGTTTAACTAAATTGTCCTTAATTGTCTTTTGCTTCGTTGTTTTCTTTTCTTGAATGGTTTTACCTTTACTGCGAGAAACAGAGTAGGGGTACTGGCGATTTTTCATCAGTTTCTCAGCCGGAGTCAACAAACTCCTGTCCCTGAGGAAACTCTGCCTGGAGTTCCCAGTCACAGAAATGTCTGGAGTTGCTGCCTCGTCTGAAATGTTTGACACATTTTTAACTTTTGAAGTGTCAGCAAGTCGTGATTTTTTAAACGGGGAAAAAGGCTGGCTATCAGCCTTATTCTCTTTGTCAGTGGCGGAGTTCTGTGAATAATCCTCAGTAACTATCAACCGTCGTTTCACTTTCTTGGGCTCCTTTGCCGATGTGTTATTTTCATGTGAACTGTTTGAAGCACTGTGAACAGAATTTATGGAAGGCTGGTCTTTTGAAACACTACTTTGAGGTGTTGATTTCTCAATATCACTAGGAGGCACGTTAGATTTTTCAGTCACTGTATTTGTTTTTTCTTTCTGAGTCTCGGTTGGTTTGACCAACGAGCACTTGCTCCCAAGAGCAACATAGCAAGTGCGCTGCTCCAGACTTTTGTTCTTGATGGACTGGCTGTCTGCACTACGGACACTTGTATCACTGAGATTACCATTAGTGCATGCAGCGTTTTGAGCTGCCTGCTGTTCCTTTGGAGGACTTATGGCATCAGGTTTTAGGTTAACTGGGCTGGAACCTGGGAGTGAAATTGAAACAATTGTGTTAATGTAGGTGTATACAAATAACTACAGGTTAAAACGATGAACTGTCTTTTAAACTAAACACAGTAAAATATGAGAGTTGTTGATGTTAAGTCACAAAAACTGTTTTTAAAAGTAAGTAATTCGATAAACATAAAAAATGAGAGCTAAATTAAATTTAAAAATGTAATAGTTACCACAGTTTCTATTCTTGACAATCCCATTGTCGCCCTTAGTAGGCTTTAAAAAATGAAAACATTATTTTAAAAATTTAAGTAAAGATTAATGTGTATTTTATTTTTAAAATATATTTTCGAATGAAGACGATGACAACACAGAAGGAAAATAATAATAAACTAACATGTTTTATTATTTCCTTAAAAAGCATTGCATTATAAAAATTTTACCTGTGAAATTTTTGTTGCATCAGAACAATTGTTGTTGATTGCAATTTCACCAAACTTGAATGTTCGCTTTGTTGTTTGCCACCGGCTGAAAAACAAATATTAAAACACAATAACAAGTTTGAAATTTATTGCACTGCAAGAGATCCCAGTACTATAAAACACAACTATATTATCCAAGAGAGGCTTTTTAACAACAGACAAAAGACTGCAGAAAATATATAAATAAATGACTTAAATATAAGAATTATTAATTAACATAATTACAAGTAACTACTGATGCAATTTCTTATAGTGTTTTAGTGATTATTTATATTATGTATGTGACAATCTCTAGTGCAAAATGCATTTATTTAAGACTCATGTTAAAAGTTATAAGCCACATGGTTCTGACCAGAGCGAGATCTATAGGGTACCAATACATGATAACTGAATGAGCTAACATCTTCACATCTTATGTAAATTGTAAATGATGCCACAGTTTCAGTTTTGTCTATTTGGGAAAGGAGGGGGAGTTCCTCTCCATGCAATTGAAAACACTGGTAATCTGATTAAATCTCTGTCACAGAATGTTGTGAAGCTTGTTTTTCATTTAAAAAAAAATACTTCTTTGCTTTGTCCATGGTACCTAAACAATCTGATTAATTTTAAATCCACAGGATTCTAGAGCTATAAATAATTACATAATTAGCAGAGCTAACACTGTTATCCTAGGCCGAGGATAGGAACAACCACCCCTGTATTGGTGTGATCAGTGTCTGACAATAGTTATACTCTAATGAAAATATGTGCCTCAGGTTGTTACAGTCAATAGCATTTTAATGTCAGGTTTAATGTTAAATCAGAAATTGGAGCTAGGGCTACGAATTGAAAAGGCGTAGTTTAGGGTTTGTGTTGAGATTAGCAAGTTAAGTTAGTTTTCATTTATTACCAAGTAACTTAACATCACTTTTTAAAGAAGATTATATTATTGTGGCTTCATGATCTCATATAGTTAAACATGAGTAAAAGAAATACCTATCCCCCCCTCCACCCTTTCAAATGAAAAAACTGAAAGTAGTAAAAGCTAAGTATTAAAATCCAATTTAATGTAAGTCAAATTCCATCTTCCATCTTAGCATAGCAGTTGAAGGACAACATACTACTTCTAGTATATCTACCAACCTATAACTTATATAACGTCTAGTCATAGGGATCAGGTTTACCAGCTCAGTTGCTAAAACATATTAATTAAGTCAAGTTCAAGTTGTTCTTGATGGGACGGCATGGCCTAGATGTCGAACACTAGACTACTAACCCAAAAGTCTCAAGTTGGAATTCAAGTTTGTCAGTGGAACATCCTTTAGTCGACTGAGCTCTGATGGGTACCTAACGCCTAACTCACATTAGGGAAAGTAAAGGTAGCTGGGCATAGTGCTGACCACATTATCCCTTGATATGCCAATATCAAGAAACAAACTCCACTTCATCTGCCCAATGGATTTCTAGGTCTAAAGAGGAATCTTTACTTTTTTGTTTTACTGTTCTCGATATGTAGGAAGAACCACTTTAGGGACTTTATATTCCAAGATATAGGCCTAAGCCTGCCCTAAAATATCAAAAGAGACCTAGGCCAATTTCATTTGATTTTGAGAATGTAAAATTTAGAAAAAGAATAGGAAAAAGGAAACAGCCTATCCTAACCTAACCTAAAAGTAGATTGTAAAAGTACATAAAAAACAAAAGCCCTCAGCAGCTCTAAGGTTGCTAGTTCTAAATATTAAATAATCCAACTAGTAGGCCTAAGTAGAATCTAGGTAAATAAGTATGTAAGAAGGTCTAGTAATAAAAAGGACTACAGCATTTCAAAAATTATATTCATACTTTTTTTACTTGAGTTAAAAAGTCCAGTTAGTGCTGTATAAAGTATAAAGTAGAGAGAGACCTAGATCTAGAATCTAGATCTAGGCCTATCTCCCCCCCCCCCCCCCATTTATTTAAAAAATTAAAAACAATCAACAACTAGACTTAACCAGAGCTAAATAACAATTTTAAAATAAAATTGTGCAGTTATATTAACATTAAGAACTATGTAAACTTACGAAAATCTTCTCGGTGGTCTAGGTGAAGAATCCATTCACACAAAATGTTTTGTTTACGAATGTAATTTTGTGTGCTTGTTTGTAATTTTTCGTCAGCAGTCTTCCTCCAGGCTAGGCGAATGAGAGCAGCCAACTTTTAGATAAATTAGCGATGAATGCAATTACTTGAAAGCACATAATACTTAACTACTATGTGTATTATTCCTTCAGAAAACATTCTATTGTGATTATTTAGCTCATTACTAAAATTAAACTCTTGAACAGAATTCAAAACGATCAAACACAAATCCACCGCCTCTGTGTAATACAGTTCTCCTTTTTATGAAAACTCAATTTACACTAAACATTTACTCGAAAAGGTGGATTGGATTCTATTATCGGGAACCTATAAATATTTCAATAGTCTTTTTGTTGTCCTACAGCATTATGATGAACTAATGATGCATTACTGTAACAATGCAGTTATTTTGACATAATAATAATAATAAATATTAAAACAAACTAAATCAATAAAACTATTTTAGTATACAACTAGAGTCTATATGAGATCGTGTATCACTCCGAGAATAAGGGCTCAAGCCTACATAATTCAAAAAGTGCCCCTCTTCCTGTATCATTATTTTTTTTTTTATATTAACAACCAGTTATTTTGGGCTTGTTGTTTTTTTTTTTACAAGCGAATTTGTTTAATAATAATGTAGTTCTTACTAGTTTGCAATATAGCCTAGATCTAGAAGCATTTCCCTAACTAAGCCTACAATGTTGTTTTTGTGGGTTAACCTACTAAAAGCAAGTTAATGAGGGGTGGAAAGGCTATACAGACATAGGGCTTTTGTCAACTTATTCCAGCTCTAAACCTGCTTACTATGTCAACCTGGACATCCTGATCCAACCACATTTTCAACCTATAAAATGCCCATCGATCCGTAGCTCCACAAACAAAGATTGCCACCGGTTAGGTCGCGCGTTAGCCGAGCCCAGTGGTAAAAATCAAACGCGGCGTTGGCTATTGTTGCGGATATCACGGCTCGTGGCGTAGTGTTCGCACCGCCGACTGCACGGTAGCACTACTGACTGGTGACTGGTGCGTCAACACACGAGTAGTCGCCCTTTTGTTTTTTGGTGGCGCTGGTTCTCGTGATGGATTGAAACGTTGGGCGAAGGAGAATGGAGTCGTACCATAAATTACCTACGGTGTCGCATAGACTATGTAATTATAATTTCTAAAACTGATTGGACTGTCAAAAAATGCAGCATTTTGACTAAATCATTTAATGTTCTAAACCTCACATTAGTAAGCCTGTGTTGGTCAAACTAATATTAGAAAAATGCATCACTTATCTCTACCTGCCATGATAAAACGAAGACGGATTAAGGGGGAGGGGTGTGTTTAGCTATGAGAGACCCACCAAAAATTAACACATCTTTAGGATATAGTTAATTTTTATTTATTTATAAAATATTATGTTGTTAGTAGGCTATATATTAGTATAACTATGGACGGATCCCGAGAGAAACACGTGTATGTATGTGTGTGTATTGTGCGTGTTTTCGATCGTCAATCGACCAGAACATTTGTTAAGAAAATTATACCATCCCCTTGCAACTCCACTAGTTAGAAGAGTTCGAATAGAATCTAATTAAAGCTGTTGAAATGCTACTCCCTTTTGTGTATGTTTAATCCAGTATCCCCCCAGGCAAGAGGAGAGAACCCAGGGATTACTCAGTATTCTTTCCAGGTCCACCAAGCCTCACAATTGAGTTCCCCGTATGTGATCCAATGCTCACGGGGTAAAGATTCCCTCGGCCTAGCAGATTCCGGTTGTCATGGAGCCTTCACTCACCACGGCAAGGGTTACACAAATCTTGACTCAGCGCGGCGCTACTGTCGCCCCATTCAATGTGTCAATTAGATTTCTCACACGACCTCTATACCCATCTGTGTTTAGAGGGAGGGAGGTGGGGGGGGGGTGCCTAAATCCGATATCACGTTTTACACAATTTTAAACAGTTGGGAGATTGCCTAATCACATAGAGTCTTTGAAAAACACGCATATTTTTTTGAACGAAAAGTGAGATAACCTATAGGCCTACAAACTGACTGTTGTAGGTCTATACATTTGTTTGTCTGGTTTTCATGCCTAAATGCAATTTTTCATCCATTTAATTTTTAAAAACCATTTTTTTCAAAATTGATCCATCTACACCCTATCCTAAAACCATGGTCCATTCGCACACCACCCTAATATCTAGCCCCATCCACACACCACCCTAAAACCCTGGCCCCCACACACCACCCTAAAACCCTGGCCCCCACACACCACCCTAAAACCCTGGCCCCCACACACCACCCTAAAACCCTGGTCCCACACACCACCCTAAAACCCTGGTCCCACACACCACCCTAAAACCCTGGCCCCCACACACCACCCTAAAACCCTGGCCCCCACACACCACCCTAAAACCCTGGCCCCCACACACCACCATAGAACCTGGTCCCCACACACCACCCTAAAACCCTGGCCCTCACACCACCCTAAAACCCTGGCCCCCACACACCACCCTAAAACCCTGGCCCCCACACACCACCCTAAAACCCTGATCCCCACACACCACCCTAAAACCCTGGCCCCCCACACCTCACCCTAAAACCCTGGCCCCCACACACCACCCTAGAACCTGGTCCCCACACACCACCCTAAAACCCTGGTCCCCACACCACCCTAAAACCCTGGCCCCCACACCTCACCCTAAAACCCTGGCCCCCACACACCACCCTAAAACCTTGGTCCCCACACACCACCCTAAAACCCTGGCCCCCACACACCACCCTAAAACCCTGGTCCCCACACACCACCCTAAAACCTTGGCCCCCCACACCTCACCCTAAAACCCTGCCCCCCCCCCCACCACCCTAAAACCCTGCCCCCCCCCCCCACACCTCACCCTAAAACCCCGGCCCCCACACACCACCCTAAAACCCTGGCCCCCACACCACCCTAGAGCCCTGGTCCCACACCACCCTAAAACCCACCCTGGCCCCCCCACACCTCACCCTAAACTCCGTTTCCAGCCTGTCCCCCTCTTTGTTTATTGCCTATTGTCATGTCCAAGCTACCCTAATTCCCCCCCCCCCCCCCACACACACACACCACCCTAAACCCTGGCCCCACACACCACCCTAAACCCTGGCCCCCACACCACCCTAGAACCCTGGCCCCCCACACCACCCTAGAACCCTGGCCCCCCCCACACCTCACCCTAAACTCCGTTTCCAGTCTGTCCCCCACTTTGTTTATTGCCTATTGTCATGTCCAAGCTACCCTAATTCCCCCACGTCAATCTGTACCTTCATTCAGTCTCTCGCTCCACACACCCCCCATCTCCCCACCACACGACCCTTATCGTCTGCTCACGTTCTCGTTATCTTGCCGCCACAACTGACTCACACTGGAACCATACACACACACACACACGTACTCAAGACGCACACATACACACATTTATATATACACATATACACACACATCGCACATGTACTCAAAAGAATACACGCACATACAAGCATATACACAAACAGATACATTTAATTTAAATTTACACAATTATATACATACGCATTCACGAATTCACGCTTACAAACGCACTCACCCACAAGTCCGACAAATACAAATACATTCGCTCACACAAAAATCGCACGCATATTTAATTTTAATGTTATCGTCATAAACATAAATACTTACTTAAGTCCAGAATCAAACCACATTCAACAACTTATATAAAAAAAAATAGAAAACTTTATTGCTATGTTTTTTTAGCTAAAATATTCATCCACCGGTGTTTAAAGCTTCCCCCTTTTTTTCTTCTTCCGAAATCTATCACCCGGCAGTTAATGAATGGATCGGCCAGTGTAGCGTAGAGAAAAAGCCTTTTAGACCGCCATCCATCAAGCTTACAAGATACCATTGATGCTTCTTGTCTCTTAAAAAACAACTTTGTCAATATTTGTGCCAGCAGGAGCGCCCAAGCTACATATTTAGGCGCTCACGGGGCGTTATCTTTAACCTCCGCCTATATATACATATATATATATATATATATATATATATATATATATATATATATATATATATATATATATATATATATATATAGGCTATATATATATAGGCTACATATATATATATATATATATATATATATATATATATATATATATATATATATATATATATATATATATATATATATATATATATATATATATATATATATATATATATATATATATATATATATATATATATATATATATATATATATATATATTTGTTGGAGTTTGTTCTAGCATAAGTCCATTTTCATGAAAGCCAATTAATAAGTACCACAAGCGAGTACCTTCAATTTTCAACATAGAACTGGTTATGTTGTATACCATCATGCTTCTCAGAACTGCAATTAAAGGTTGTTGGCGACCGGTTTCGCTAACCTAACCTGGCCCTAACACTAGTGCTAATCCACTCCCTTATCATGAAAAGCCAATACCGGTTGAGTACAGAACCTCGATTCGATATTGAATTGCTCTTCCGGAGTTACTGAAGTACTGATCTTTTTTTTTTCTTTTTTTACAGAGTTTTTTTTAAATGCATTGAATGCATTAAAAAAAAAAACGTTGCTGTAAAAAAAAAAAACCAGATGCATCAGTTCACATACAACAGGTTGGGAGGAGGGGGGGGGGGGGTCGATAAAATCGATTTTTATCGAATCTCAACAGATACGTCTGCTTGCGATTTTCTTACTGGCCAGTTTAAAACAGGCTCGTATTTGCTCCGGTGTCAGTCAGATTCAGACCTAGGCATTGATTTTTCAATCAGACGACACTGAGCCAGAGCCATGCCACGTCACAATGTTTGCGCATGCGCCCTGGTAAAGCTATGGTAAGTCGGGGCTGATAGTATTAATTGTAATGAAGGAGGGATCTAGCCTGTTTGGGCTGAGGTCGGAGGATATGCTCGGACTGTACATGTAAAACTAAACAACAAAAAAATTAAAATATAAAACTAATTAACTAATCACAAAATCTCTTTCTTTTGATGTGGATTGAAACTTGTGACGTCACACTTTTGTAATAATGTTAGAAACTGAGTTTTAGTCGTAAAGTAATTCACCATGTTAAAAAATACCTTTGTGTGTGTGTGTGTGTGTGTGTGTGTGTTGTGTGTGTGTGTGTGAAATGCAATTAAAAACTTATTGGTATAAGCAGTGGCGTGCAGACCTATGTAGATGCCCGGGGCAAACTCAAGCGGAAGATGCCCCCATAAATACTTATATATATATATATATATATATATATATATATATATATATATATATATATATATATATATAATTTATTTAAAAAATTGTACTTATCTTACTTGAGATGAAAACGTTGACTACAGCCAGCTAAATCCAAATGGAGTAAATGGTTGGAACTTGGGGGGGGGGGGGGGGGGGAGTGGTTGGAAAGGGGGGAGACAATTGCGGGACGTGTCGTGGTGGGGAGGGGGGGGCTGTGATGCACTACAAAAGAGTCTCATCCGGTATTGTATTACCACCCGGGACCGCAGGGTCAAAAACGCTGTCCGTGTCTACAATTAGGGCGTCAGACACGCTCCTTATTTATGGGATGTTTCTCTCTTGGCGTGTTTAGGAATTCCTATAGTGTAACTAATACAGGTGAGAGTGTGCATTGAACTAGAGATGTTTCAGATTTTTTCTCTAAACCACTTGGTCAAAACGTCAACTCTTTTAAGAGATGGGTGATGCTAGATACTCTCAAAGTATCTGAACCTTGAATATAACAGAAATGTACCTTGTTTGGCTAAAGCTGCCAGCCCTAAAAAAAACAACACTTCTACATCGGACTGTGTTTAAAAATCCACCATGCTATGTCAGACCCTTAATTTAGCTGTAAATTAAATTGTTCTTCTGGCTGCCTCTTTAAATTAAGCCATAGGCTAGTAACCTCTTTTTGAAGTTGATATTTCAATTTGTGAGGATAAGCTTTTTGATACAAATCATTTAATTTAGCATATTTCGCGGTGTTTTGACTAGCCATTATTTCGCACACTTGTAGTCGCATTGACACTGTTATATTACTGAGTCCAACGTTGATGCTAGTGTGTATTAACGCCCCCCCCCCCCTCCTGTCCCACACCTGAACAAGGACAGCGTGCTATGCCCTCCCCCCCCCTCCACCCCTCTCCCGTCTCACAACTGAACTGGGATGACCTAGAGAAGTGCAGGCTAGGGGCAATGCATGTCGCCTGGTATTTGACATGGGATGCACATGTGGGGAAACAGGTAATTGGATCCTATTGTATTCGAGGTTAAGCCAGGGCATAGACCCAAGCTGGGTGGTGAGGGCAAGAGAGATAGGACAGATGAACGTTAGCTTCGCAAGGAAATATTTTTCTTTCACACTACCAAAAATAATGTTAGATTTAATGTGTGGACGTCCACATTGGGCCAACCCCCCCCCCTCCCCCTGTCCACACGCGTCCACAAAAGTCAATTTTTTCGGACCCCCCCCCCCCCCCCCCAGTGTGGACGTCATAAATGGATGACCCCTAATTAAGAAGTGTGAGACTTAAGGACAACTTTAGAATGAAGTTAACTCGGCCCGGCCCAGTGTATCAAAACAGTACGGACTTGAAAGTTTGTATTTAACCGTACACAAAAATCCAAATGGCCATGAATAAAGAATATCATTAGAATAAAAAAAAGCCAATAGGCTGTGTGCTTAATCAGTCTACGAATGCCGTTACGTCCATCATAATAAATAAGGATGCCCTACAAACATTATGCAATGAATAGAAACATAATAAAGATGCCCGATAAAATATAAAGCGAACAAGGGCATAATTACTGTAGGGATGCCCTTCAGACATTCAATAATGAATATAAGCATAATAAATATCCGATAATATATAAACGAATATGGGCATAATTGCTGTAATTATATAAATACAAGTAAATTACTTTAAAGATGCCCTGATGATATATAAAATGTATGCGGGCAAAATTACTGTTTGGATACCCTTCAAAAGTATTATGATGAATATAAGCAAATTACATTAAAGATGCCCCTACAGTGTGTAAATTATAATCATGGGCTTTAATACTCTATGGATGACCACAAGTGTATAAAATGATTATGGGCGTGTTCTCTAAAAGATGCCCCTACAGTGTGTAAATTATAATCATGGGCTTTAATACTCTATGGATGACCACAAGTGTATAAAATGATTATGGGCGTGTTCTCTAAAAGATGCCCCTACAGTGTGTATATTATAATCATGGGCTTTAATACTCTATGGATGACCACAAGTGTATAAAATGATTATGGGCATGTTCTCTAAAAGATGCCCCTACCTACACTATTCCTAAATAAGTATCAGATACTCTATTAATTGAAAGACTGCATACATTTATTCGGGGAATATCAATGACTACTACACCACTACCCTTCACCGATGCCCCTTTCTCTCTGAAGGTTGTACGACACGGACAGTACGATGACTATATCAGTGCCATGTGTTGATTGTATATACACATTTCGGTGAATTCGGCAAATTGTGATCATTTGATAATTCTGCCTAGGTAGACAAACCTTAGTAGACATTTAGCTTTCCTAAAAAAAAAAAAATAAATAAAAAAAAAAAAAAAAAAAAAAAAAAAAAAAAAACAACAACATTTTTTTTACCCCCTTTGGATGCCCCTTTGATGTGGCTGCCCGGGGCCTGGGCCCCCTCCGCCCCCCCCCCCCCCTCTGCACGCCACTGGGTATAAGATAATGTAGACCGAGCTCAGTAAAAAAAATATCTCAGTTTTAAGAGGTGGGTGGAAGACAAAGGTGTGACGTCATAGAGGATGGGCTTTTTAGCTTTTTGTGACCTTAAACAAATGTGACGTTTTTTTAAGACAACAGGACTGCCGATTTGTTCATTCTAGATGCCGGTTAAGGTTTTAAAAAAATTGTTTCAAAAATAGATCTATTTCCCTGTTAAACTCAACATGTGGATGTCTATATAGACCCGAACCTCGCCCCTCCCCCACTCCACACTCGACCACAAATGTCGACCCTCTTCCCCCTCTCGGCGCGGAAGTCATAAATAGATGACCCCTATTGGAAAATTTGGAACACATGCAATTGTAATGCCCACTCAAATTTAGACGACATTAAAAACACAAAATGTTTATTGTTACAAATTAATCACAACTCTTGTTATGCCGCTTCATCACACAAGGTTAACTTGCTTGAGCGAGAATTAATTGACTTGTAAATTTTCATTCGTTTCGTTTAACAGTAGCGAACGGCACATAATCTTTTATCATCTCTCTCTGATACAACGAATGCGCTTTTTAACTTGTCGAGGTTTCATTTAAAGTGTTGTATCCCTCTTTATATATATATATATATATATATATATATATATATATATATATATATATATATGCCTATATATATAATTTTTATATGTATATATATATATATATATATATATATATATATATATATATATATATATATATATATATATATATATATATATATATATATATATATATATATATATATATATATATATATATATGTATATATATGTATATATATGGCTATATATATAGTTTATATATATATATATATATATATATATATATATATATATATATATATATATATATATATATATATATATATATATATAAACACGAGAAACCAGGGGATAACACCGCCTACCCCACCCACTTGATACTGATACGCCATTGCTTATAGAAGACTAATGACAACAGCTTATAGATCTACAGAGTATAGCCCATCTTCTTATCTTTGTTTGTCTATTGAGTATATTAAGTTACTTTGTGTATTTAGACTAGAAGTCACTACTGCAAATTGGCTTGGGCGAGCGCCATTAATAAGCTTTAGCATAACATTTTCTTTATCTTAAGTGAAATTGAATAATGCGTTATTATATATGCATACGTCACTCAATATTCCAGACTTTCCAGTTTCAAAAGGAAAATTATTCCCATCTGTGATCTAGCCTGGCTTGTTTACAGCTAGAGTCCACAATGTAACCTCTGGGCGGTGCGCACTTCTATTATTGAGAAAAATTAAACTTGCAGGAACGGGAATTCCCCTAAGTGCGAGCCGCGCATTGACGAGACTGCGCATCGCGTGGCTATGGTCGATTCTTTTGTCACGTGACATTTTGTTTGGTTTTTTTTTTAACGGAACAATAAACACATTTATGAATAATTACTGAGAACGATGTGGTCTAGTGGTAGCGCTTGTAAATGTTAACCCGAATGTTATTTGATCGGGTCTAGGATTGTGTCAGTAGAAGGTTCTTAATCAATGACGCCATACACTTATTTGTGTGTGTGTGTGTGGGGGGGGGGGGGGGTGAAAACAGTTCTTTTGTGACGCTTTTGAGAATTGTGACGAGGGGGAGACAGAGTACTATTGAGGAATAGCGACGTAGAATTTAAAAAAAAAACTATTTTAAGAACACACCAAAAAAAATAATTTTTATTTCACTTAAAATTTATAGACTTATTTATTTTAATGGAGAGGTGGTGGATGAAGGGCGGGGATGTGATTACACGTGAAGAAGGGGGGGGGATGGAGGTTTGCGGTGAAATCGTTTAAAAATGACGGGATTTGTAGACGACCTATAACGCCACCCTCCCCCGTAAAAAGCTTATATCAACACGAGTAGGGTATGTGGGTACAACAGGCTGGTAATTTTTTCTAACAAATGACCTTTTTGTCGTAATGTTTCGCGTTCGTGAAAATTGGAGTCAAGACGAGCGATTACTTAGTACTGTGACGAAATACCATCACACGATACCATCACGCTTACCATCACGGAATAAAATCACGGAATACCATCACAGACTGAGACTACCATCACTGAGTAAACCGCTACCATTATACACTACCATCACATTCTACCATCAAGCACTACCATTAATTAGTACCCTCTCACTAGACTAGCTATCATCAGGGACTATATTCATGGACTACCATAAAAACAACCATCACAAACTACCAGCACGAAATCATTATTTTCACTGAAGATTCAATGTTTGTACACCAAAACGACACGACAATTCTGTTTCTAGATATATTCAACTCCAACCGGCTAGTGCGTGTATCTCTAACTCCCTTAATTCACATCTTTGTAGCGGCCGGTTGTCGGGATGTCCCTAGCGGCTTATAATGCAGAGAAGACATTCATTTGTTTTTGGGTTCTATCGGCCGCCATGATGTGTGGGGGTGATCCTATGTAATGCCTGAAACACATTTTTTATGTGGGAGAAAAACATTGTTGTTGTCCTTGGCAACTGGCCCACTCTCTTCATCTTCTACATATGCTGCTTATGTCAATATTTCCAACATCAAAATATGCTGCTTATGTCAATATTTCCAACATCAACATATGCTGCCCATATCAGGATCTCCAACATCAACATATGCTGCCCATATCAGGATCTCCAACATCAACATATGCTGCCCATATCAGGATCTCTAGCATCAACATATGCTGCCCATATCAGGATGTCCAACATCAACATATGCTGGTCATGTCAGGATCTCTAACATCAACATATGCTGCCCATATCAGGATCTCTAACATCAACATATGCTGCCCATATCAGGATGTCCAACATCAACATATGATGCCCATATCAAGATCTCCAACATCAACATATGCTGCCTATATCAGGATGTCCAACATCAACATATGCTGTCCATATCAGGATCTCCAACATCAACATATGCTGCCTATATCAGGATCTCAAACATCAACATATGCTGTCCATATCAGGATCTCCAACATCAACATATGCTGCCTATATCAGGATCTCAAACATCAACATATGCTGTCCATATCAGGATCTCCAACATCAACATATGCTGCCCATATCAGGATCTCAAACATCAACATATGCTGTTCATATCAGGATCTTCAACATCAACATATGCTGCCCATATCAGGATCTCCAACATCAACATATGCTGCTCATATCAGGATCTTCAACATCAACATATTCTGCTCATATCAGGATGTCCAACATCAAAATATGATGCCCATATCAGGATGTCCAACATCAAAATATGCTGCCCATGTGATGATCACCGACATCAACATATGCTGCCCATATCAGGATCTCCAACATCAACATATGCTGCCCATATCAGGATCTCTAACATCAACATATGCTGCCCATATCAGGATCTCAAACATCAACATATGCTGGTCATGTCAGGATCTCCAACATCAACATATGCTGCCCATATCAGGATCTCTAACATCAACATATGCTGTCCATATCAGGATCTCCAACATCAACATATGCTGCCCATGTGATGATCTCTAACATCAACATATGCTGGTCATGTCAGGATCTCTAACATCAACATATGCTGTCCATATCAGGATCTCAAACATCAACATATGCTGCCCATATCAGGATCTCCAACATCAACATATGCTGCCCATATCAGGATCTCCAACATCAACATATGCTGCCCATATCAGGATCTCTAACATCAACATATGCTGCCCATATCAGGATCTCTAGCATCAACATATGCTGCCCATATCAGGATGTCCAACATCAACATATGCTGGTCATGTCAGGATCTCTAACATCAACATATGCTGCCCATATCAGGATCTCTAACATCAACATATGCTGCCCATATCAGGATGTCCAACATCAACATATACTGCCCATATCATGATCTCTAACATCAACATATGCTGGTCATGTCAGGATCTCAAACATCAACATATGCTGCCCATATCATGATCTCTAACATCAACATATGCTGTCCATATCAGGATCTCAAACATCAACATATGCTGCCCATATCAGGATCTCCAACATCAACATATGCTGCCCATATCAGGATCTCCAACATCAACATATGCTGCCCATATCAGGATCTCTAACATCAACATATGCTGCCCATATCAGGATCTCTAGCATCAACATATGCTGCCCATATCAGGATGTCCAACATCAACATATGCTGGTCATGTCAGGATCTCTAACATCAACATATGCTGCCCATATCAGGATATCTAACATCAACATATGCTGCCCATATCAGGATGTCCAACATCAACATATGCTGCCCATATCATGATCTCTAACATCAACATATGCTGGTCATGTCAGGATCTCAAACATCAACATATGCTGCCCATATCATGATCTCTAACATCAACATATGCTGTCCATATCAGGATCTCAAACATCAACATATGCTGCCCATATCAGGATCTCCAACATCAACATGTGCTGCCCATATCAGGATCTCCAACATCAACATATGCTGCCCATATCAGGATCTCCAGCATCAACATATGCTGGTCATGTCAGGATCTCCAACATCAACATATGCTGCCCATATCATGATCTCTAACATCAACATATGCTGCCCATATCAGGATCTCTAGCATCAACATATGCTGGTCATGTCAGGATCTCTAACATCAACATATGCTGCCCATATCATGATCTCTATCAGCAACATATGCTGGTCATGTCAGGATCTCTAACATCAACATATGCTGTCCATATCAGGATCTCTAACATCAACATATGCTGCCCATATCAGGATCTCCAACATCAACATATGCTGTCCATATCAGGATCTCCAACATCAACATATGCTGCCCATATCAGGATCTCTAACATCAACATATGCTGCCTATATCAGGATCTCTAACATCAACATATGCTGCCCATATCAGGATCTCCAACATCAACATATGCTGCCCATGTCAGGATCTCCAACATCAACATATGCTGCCTATATCAGGATCTCCAACATCAACATATGCTGCCCATATCAGGATCTCCAACATCAACATATGCTGCCCATGTCAGGATGTCCAACATCAACATATAATGCCGATGTCAAGATCTCCAACATAAACATAAGCTGCCCATATCAGGATCTCTATTATCAACATATATTGCCACTGTAAGAATCTCCATCATCATATGCCTGCATTGCAAAGATATCATCAACATATACTGCCACTGTAAAAATCTCCAGCAACATATATTGCCACTGTGATTTTTGTGTCAAAAGCCCACACCCCAACCCATCCACCTACCCTTGACCGCACAAACCTCACAATGCCTCACACAGCTAATGTATTTTAATTCTTGCTAATGGCAGGGATGAGCTCTTTCTTATTCCTTCACACAACCACACACACATACGTACACGCAGGCACACGTACACATTACACAAACACACGTACGTTTTTTCCGCAGTACATTTACATACAAGTACACACATCAATACGAACACGCATGCACACATATTTACACACAGAGCTTGCCATAAACACCTAAAAAAAAACATCATGATTATTGGGCAAATATGAGATAAACGTGTCTACGTTTCTGTGTTACTGAATTCAGTGTGTTTTTAGTGGGAATTCAGTGTGTTTTTTTGTGTGAATTAAGTGTTCTTGTGTGAATTCAGTGTTTTCAGTGTGAATTCAGTGTTTTTTGTGTGAATTCAGTGTTTTCAGTGTGAATTCACTGTTTTTAGTGTGGTCAGTGTTTTTAGTGTGAATTCAGTGTTTTCAGTGTGAATTCAGTGTGTTTTCAGTGTGAATTTAGTGTGAATTCAGTGTGTTTTCAGTGTGAATTCAGTGTTTTCAGTGTGAATTTAGTGTGTTTTCAGTGTAAATTCAGTTAGTTTTCAGTGTGTTTTCAGCGTGTTTTCAAAACAAATCCACATTAAGGCGCTCGTCCTTTCAGTTGTGTTGAGAATCTAAAAGGCTGACACGCTTCTCCAAATTCATTCCTCGTTTTCTTTCGTTTTCCCGACGAATAAAAAAAAATCCTATTTTTTTTAAAGAAACCAGCAGGAAGTAATCGATCCACTGACAGATTACTGCTTGCATGACATCGGCACCACGTGCTGTAACAGCATGACTCCTGATACGTTTAGACAGGACCGGTTAACAAACTATGCAGATTGGCTGCGATTTTTTTTTTTTTTACTTTCTCCTGTACGGAGTACACTGTGAGTATTGTAATCGAGCAAAAAAAAAATTAAAAAATCGAGATATTGACAAATCTTGACGCTTTACACCTCTGAATCGAAAAAAAAAAACGTTTTGCAATCTTGTCTGTCTGTATATGTGTGTATATGTGTGTGTATGTGTGTGTGTGAACACAATAACTTGAGTACCTTTGGGGGTAGGTTGAAAAATTGTTCACATAAGGAGTATTGGAACTATGTGTAGGTTTATTTCAATTTCTAAGTGATTTCAGGCAACCGGATAAGGTACTTTATCATATTTCAGATTTATTAGGAAAACTTAAGGATTTGATAATTTTATGTCATAATTATTTCAAAGCAGCATATTCGCCTGTATGTATTTTCTAGAAAATGTAACCAGTGTTTCTTCCAGACTTTTTTTCTCCGGAGGGGGGGCACTTGATATTTTCGGGGGGGGGGCGGTCAACATTTTCCGGGGGGGGGGGCGGACACTAATAAAAGTATATTTTTACTATATAAATTCAATCTCGTTCGGGGGTGCGGTAGACTTTCTTCGTAACTAACGTACTCTCCATTTCAATAGCCCTAATGTACTGGTAGTGCCATCTCAACCTTTTCTATTGTATGAATGGTAATAAACGAGGGAGTTTAGGGGAGACTACTCCCGCTGAAATATTTATTTCAGAGATTCGTCTAACACACATTTTAAGTACAAACAAATAAAATACTGCACAACTATTAAGAACTTGTTATAATGTATTGTAATGTAATACGAGTTAAACTACTACTACAACTTTTACTAAACATTTTTACCTTTACGTATTTTACAGTTATAAACATGGACCTTAAAACGTTGTTCCTTATTTAAGTTAAAAAAATTATTATATAATATAATATTCTCGTCGGACACTTCATTGACATGTCTTAGCCCCAGGCAACATCTGATTTAACTTATCGACAATGTTAATTAAACTAATCAATGTTTTTCATTAATTAAGTAATTAGGGATTTTTTTTTCAAAAGTATTTGAATGCCCGCTAGCAAGGTATGAGTTTATTCACATTAAACTCAGGAAAATTCAAACGTATAGAGAACAGAATGTGTGATGGTTGTTAAGCTCTGATCTATGGAGCGGAGCTTAAAGCTGGAGCTATGTACTTAATTTTTGATGGCGCTAGAATTGAAATGAATGCTGCTTTGTCGTGTTCAGTTTAAATCAAAACAGTGAGACAAAATGTATTAAAATTAAAACAATAAGACAGTTAAAATAAAACGTCTTATCGGGTAAAAGTAAAATTGGTGTCTTTAATTATTTACCAAGAGAATAAACAACCTTAAAAGGCTTCTGTATGGGAAAACAACTTTTTTTTTTCAAATGTAGGGGAGGGGGTGGAGCTAATATAGACTGGAGTTTATGCAAATGTAGAGCTAATATAGGCTGGAGCTTATGCAAAGGTGGAGCTAATATAGACTGGAGTTTATGCAAATGTGGAGCTAATATAGGCTGGAGCTTATGCAAAGGTGGAGCTAATATAGGCTGGAGCTTATGCAAAGGTGGAGCTAATATAGGCTGGAGCTTATGCAAAGGTGGAGCTAATATAGGCTGGAGCTTATGCAAAGGTGGAGCTAATATAGGCTGGAGCTTATGCAAAGGCGGTGCTAATATAGGCTGGAGCTTGTGCAAAGGTGGAGCTAATATAGGCTGGAGCTTATGCAAAGGTGGAGCTAATATAGGCTGGAGCTTATGCAAAGGTGGAGCTAATATAGGCTGGAGCTTATGCAAAGGTGAAGCTAATATAGGCTGGAGCTTATGCAAAGGTGGAGCTAATATAGGCTGGAGCTTATGCAAAGGTGGAGCTAATATAGGCTGGAGCTTATGCAAAGGTGGAGCTAATATAGGCTGGAGCTTATGCAAAGGTGGAGCTAATATAGGCTGGAGCTTATGCAAAGGTGAAGCTAATATAGGCTGGAGCTTATGCAAAGGTGGAGCTAATATAGGCTGGAGCTTATGCAAAGGTGGAGCTAATATAGGCTGGAGCTTATGCAAAGGTGGATCTAATATAGGCTGTAGCTTATGCAAATGTGGAGCTAATATAGGCTGGAGCTTATGCAAAGGTGAAGCTATAAAGCTGTAGCTGAAGTGACGATAGGGATATAAAAACTGTAGCCGGGGCGAAGCTGGGACCATAAAACTATAGCCGGGACGAAGATGGGATCCATAAAACTGTAGTCGGGTCGAAGCTGGGGCCATAAAACTGTAGCCGGGGCGAAGCTGGGGCCATAAAACTATAGCCGGGACGAAGCTGGAGCCATAAAACTGTAGTCGGGGCGAAGCTGGGGCCATAAAACTGTAGTCGGGGCGAAGCTGGGGCCATAAAACTGTAGCCGGGACGAAGCTGGGGCCATAAAACTATAGCCGGGACGAAGCTGGGGCCATAAAACTGTAGCCGGGGCTAAGCTGGGGCCATAAAACTATAGCCGGGACGAAGCTGGAGCCATAAAACTATAGCCGGGACGAAGATGGGGCCATAAAACTGTAGCCGGGACGAAGCTGGGACCATAAAACTATAGCCGGGACGAAGCTGGGGCCATAAAACTGTAGCCGGGACGAAGCTGGGGCCATAAAACTATAGCCGGGACGAAGCTGGAGCCATAAAACTATAGCCGGGACGAAGCTGCAGCCATAAAACTATAGCTGGAGAGACGCTAGGACTGTGAAACAGTAGAAGCAATAAATCGCGCCAGCACGCATGCGTGAACCTCGCGCACGTGGGCTAAGATCCAACACGACTTCACACGAAAGTGCATTGTTTCTACTGTTTTTTTCCCCCTTATTTTTGTTTTTTCGCAGAAGGTAAAAGCGAGCATAAAAGCGCCGTTAACAAAGATAACTGCAACAAAGCTGCACCAGTTTGCTGTCGGTATCATTACGTTCAGGACGGATTTGTTGCTCTAGAATCGATTCATTTCACAGTTGTGAACACACCGTTCAGCGCTAGTATCGCTTAGTGTAGTTATAGTTCAGAAATGTTTTTTTTTGGATAAGTATAGAGGACTTCGTGAATATCTACACAGTTTTGAAAACAGTTTTGCTATGTTAAATTACTAAGACAATCTTATTAGACGACTTACCTTAGCGTTCATATCTTTAAAAAATCACAGAGGAATTTGTAAAATATTTCAAAAAATAATGGTGACAATATTTTTATCATAGGTCTACTTCAGAACATGGGCAAATAAAATAAATAAATAAATATATATATATATATATATATATATATATATATATATATATATATATATATATATATATATATATATATATATATTTTTTTTTTTTTTTTTTTTTTTTTTACAAACAACTCAGTTTGCCTAGACTAGCATAACCGAAACAAATATTCCTAAGTGTAATAACGTTTACATTTTTAATTTCGTTCTCTATACGCTACTAAATTATTGTGACGAGCAGGACAGAACGAGATGCCATGAAATATAAATGACACGTGTAAAATAGCTTAGACACAGATCGTTATGACATTGTAAAGTGCTTGATTAGAAATGTCATCCGTCCTTTACAACGCTCACATCACCGGAGTTTGTTTAAACTAGCAGGCAGGACAGTTATAGAATAGCTATAGAAGGAATGTTGTAGTCTTGTGTTACGTATATTTGCTATAAGTAGGCGGAATATTTGTTTACATAGGGAGCTGTAGGTTTTCCCGAAAGACACTGCGCGAATGCCTTTTGCCCGAATGCCGATTGCCCGAATGCCGATTGCCCGAATGAAACAATAGGGCTGGTAAGTAGTTCACCAACCAGTTATATGGCTAATGCAGGTTTTATTGAGCCATAGAACTGGTTGTTGATCTACTTACCAGCCCTACTCAACAAATTGTTGTAGGCCTATGCTTTTTGCCAAGTAGTTGTGACTCAGTTTTTATTTTAACACGTTTTTCTTAACTCAGCTTCGCGTTTGTTTGTTGTTAAAATTGACAACGAAAATTAGCCCACTTCTGATTGCTCTAGAGATCTGAAATTCGGCATGCAAGCTATTTTCGCCTAACAATTTCAGATGCAATCATAAAAACTAGCAATTAGAGACCTAAATTAGCTTAATTAAATTACGCCCCTAGGACCCTAAAATTGAGGACATGATTTCTCAAAAACGCATGTAAATTTATAAAGTACTAATAATATCCCGCACTTTTATACACATTTTATTAGGCGTTCACTTGGTGTGGGACGGAGTGGTCTAGCGGTAGAGAGCTGGACTGCTAACCCGTTAGTCTCGAGTTCGAATCCGAGTTCAAGTCAGTAGACCGTCCTTGAGTCCACCCAACTCTGATGGGTACCTAACTCCTGTTAGGGAAAGTAAAGGCGGCTGGGCATAGTGCTGACCACACTATCTCTTCATATGCCGAGGTCACAGAAACAAGTGAACTCTACTTCACTTGCCCCATAGACCGTCAGGTTTGAAAGATAAACTTTTCACTTGGTGTGCAATTCTTTTTTTTATTACCACGTTTTTTTTAAATGTTTTACAGTGTAATGCTTAAGGTGGGTGGAGAATCGACAGTTAATCTGTTCGAGGAGGGATGGACGGTGAGCCAACTACCTAAAAGCATTCAAAAACTTTTTGATCCTTTTTATTTTGATAAAAAATCCTCTAAATTTTTATGTATTTAAAAACACTTAGTCAAGTCATACTTAATCAAGTCATTAGATAAAGTAGAAAATAAACTATATAAAAAACTTTTTAAAAACCACGTTTTTCATGTGTAGCAACGGACTAAAAAGGAGAAAATAAAATACTTAAAAATTAAAAAAAAAAAACCACGTTTTTCTTGTGGACTAAAAAGTAGAAAATAAAAAAAATTTCTTCCGACCCTAGGGGATCTACCAATGACTGCTCGTAGATTTTGTGCTTCCTCGAGCTGTGCAGGTTCTTGTGATGACTGTTCATACATTAGCTCGAGGAAGCACAAAATCTACGAGCAGTCATTGGTAGATCCCCTAGGGTCGGAAGAAAAATTTATTTTCTACTTTTTAGTCCACAAGAAAAACGTGTTTTTTTAAAAAGTTTTTTTTAAGTATTTTATTTGCCCAGATGTGGCAGACTGACAAAACACCCACAATGATATTGTGTGCTCTACAATTATATTCCCACCCAATGTTATTGACATTCTCTGAGTTTAATTTGATCCGGATCGACTTCGACCTGCTTTTTAAATTAACTCCATCTAATTTTTTTTTACATTTCTTTTTCTCTTTTCCCTCGGTATTCTTTAGGTTTCCTCAAGTTTTTTTTATCCCCACATTCCCATTTCACATTTCAGCGGCTAATTTATTTTCCCAAACATTACCCCGGCAACCTCCCTGTTCAGCTGATGTTACTTCCCTAGCAACGTGTACCCACATCGAGAGTTCTCAACATATAAAACCAGTCTAATGCCTGCTATTACAACAACCTTGTCTCTAGCAGCACATATCGCTAATGTACTAATTAAAATGCAATTTTACTTTACAGCTCAGCGATGGCTTGAAGATATAAAATCGATCTGAGTACATGACATGTATATATATATACATATATACATATACATTATTATGTATATATACATACATACATACATACATATATATATATATATATATATATATATATATATATATATATATATATATATATATATATATATATATATATATATATATATGTGTGTGTGTGTGTGTGTGTGTAATTAGTTACAAAGAAGGTGACAATGTACACCAGCCGTGTAATTAATGACCTTCAGTCACACGTCTGTGAAGAGATATAAATAGATGTAAATAATGGCTTTTGTGTGTTTATAATTGGGGCTAAATGTTCTTATTTGTGACTTGTCTACACTGGGGCTTGAGAGGTATGTGTAGTAGGGCGGGGGGGGGGGGGGGTTGACTTCCGCTTCTGACCCATAAATGAGTGGGGACATTACTACTGACACACGGGTGTGTCTATTACAGAGGCTGGTGACACATGATTGTGTCTTTTATAACCGGTTAGTGACAGGGAAAAATGAACAGTGTGTATTTTCCTGTTGTAGTAGATGGGTCAGCTCATGTTTCGGAATTGAATACACTAATGTCTAACTACCCTAGCGTAACAAAACACGCTCTCTGTCAACAGCACTAGCTTACCATCACTAGACTGTCTGTCAACAACACTAGACTGTCTGTCAACAACACTAGCTTACCATCACTTACTGTCTGTCAACAACACTAGACTGTCTGTCAACAACACTAGCTTACCATCACTAGACTGTCTGTCAACAACACTAGACTGTCTGTCAACAACACTAGACTGTCTGTCAACAACACTAGCTTACCATCACTAGACTGCCTGTCAACATCACTAGCTTACCATCACTTACTGTCTGTCAACAACACTAGCTTACCATCACTTACTGTCTGTCAACAACACTAGCTTACCATCACTAGAGTGTCTGTCAACAACACTAGCTTACCATCACTAGACTGTCTGTCAACAACACTAGGCTGTCTGTCAACAGCACTAGCTTATCATCACTTACTGTCTGTCAACAACACTAGCTTACCATCACTTACTGTCTGTCAACAATACTAGACTGTCTGTCAACAACACTAGCTTACCATCACTTACTGTCTGTCAATATCACTAGCTTACCATCGCTTACTGTCTGTCAACAACACTAGACTGTCTGTCAACAACACTAGCTTACCATCACTTACTGTCTGTCAACAACACTAGCTTACCATCACTTACTGGCTTTCAACAAAAATAGCTTACCATCACTTATTGTCTGTCAACAATCTAGCTCAACAGGCCTAGCTCAAAATTTGTCAACAACCCTAGTTTAACACAACAACTTTAGTTTAACATAACAACTCTAGTTTAACACAGCTCTAGTTTAACACAACAACTCTAGTTTAACACAACAACCCTAGTTTAACACAACTCTAGTTTAACAGAACAGCTCTAGTTTAACACAACCCTAGTTTAACAGACTTCTAGTTTAACACAACAACCCTAGTTTAACACCACAACCCTAGTTTAACACCACAACCCTAGTTTAACACCACAACCCTAGTTTAACACCACAACCCTAGTTTAACACCACTCCCTATCACAACACCTCCAACACCCCATCACATCCCACATCTGGATCTCTCCCCCCCCCCTCTCTCTCAATAACACTAACGCTAATTTCACGCGGCTGACAATTAGTTGTGTTTCCCGTCTATTTTTACCCGGACCAAATTAACCCCAGCAACATCTGCTAGTTTCAACAGACACCAGCCACGTAAGACAAACTTACCTAGGTACAA